AAAATATTTAAATATAGTAAATTCAATATATATATATAAAACTATTTCAAAAATATGTATTTGAAATAGTTTAAGCTATGTGCTTTAGCTCTTTGGTTCACTGTCACTAGATGGCAGCAAATACTGTAAAGGGGTATTATAAAATGCCTTTTTAAAGTTGGTGATATTCTGCAGTTAACAACAGCATCAAATGTTATGAACTTGAACATGAATCTTGAAATGAACTTAAAATACTGTAAATAAGAGTTGATTTCCTTCATGACATTATAATGATGTTTTAATTTCTAATGTTAATTTCTCCCATGGTAACATTTCATTCACTTTCATACTTCATCAACAAAATTATGTATTCATAAAAATATAACTTTTACAGCATGTCTGATATTAAGAAACAGATTCAACAGAACTTTCTTCAGATAAACTATGCTAGGATTGAATTATGTGTAGTGGATCCCATCATCAGTTATGCTGATCATGATTTCTGTGCAACCCAGAAACGAAAACAAACAAAAATCACTTGTTTTTTTGACTGTGTGCGCTGATTTGAAGCTCATTATAAACATCACTTCAAAATTTAGCTAGTTTAAAACTCTTGCTCTATCTGATGCTCCTTTATTAATTCAAGACATTTTTTCTCTTATTTAATCAACTTTACAGTACTGTAATGCTTTACCTAGTGGACTACCTGTAATAAAGTACTAAATAGGTTTCAGGTCCTATGGGGTCCAGAATTCTAAGGATATGTGCTATTCCCCATCCTGTACATTCTGTATAGTGACAGCTGAAGACCTCTGAGGACAGACATATCATTAGGTTTGCTGATGACTCTGTCATTGTCAGTCTTCTCCAAGATATACACACTGATCATGGTCCTGTGGTCTATTTTTTAAAGGGTGGGTGTAACAACTCCTTCCTTCAACTTAATATATGGAAAACTAAAGATATGGTCACTGATCACTGAAGGCAACTACTAATTACAAAACTAACAGTCACTGAGGAGCAATAAAGATGTTAACAGTTACAGATATCTTGCCACTATTGCTCACTCCAAGCTAGCCTTTAAAACAAACACAGATACCATATGTAAAGTAAGAAGAGCTAACAGCAGTTGTTCTTCCAGAGAAGACGCAGCTCTTTTAATGTGTGTAGTACTATGATGACTTTATTCTGTAGGCCTTTTATTGAATCTTTTCTAACATTCACTGTGAAACCTGGTTTTGTAAACTGAATACACACAATAAAAACAGACTGAACAGAGTAGTGAAGGTAGCCAGCAAACGCAGTGGTGCACAACAATTACATCTGGCAGCCATCATTACCAAACAAATAGTGCAGAAGGCCAATATAATCGTTAACTATTATGACCACCACTTGCAGAGTGAATTTGAGCTCCTTCCAGTGCACACATTTAGACTATTCTTAGGTCAGCAGCCATATCACCCTGCAACTCACAACTGGCAACCCACTGCTGCTAAGCAGGTGTGAGTACCTGGATGGGAGACCTCCTGGGAAAAACTAAGGTTGCTGTTGGAAGGGGTGTTAGTGGGGCCAGCAGGGGGTGCTCACCCTGCGGTCCATGTGGGTCCTAATGCCCCAGTATAGTGACGGAGACACTATACTGTAAACAGGTGCCGTCCTTCAGCTGAGATGTAAAACTGAGGTCCTGACTCTCTGTGGTCATTAAAAATCCCAGGGTGTTTCTTGAAAAGAGTAGGGGTGTAACCCTGGCGTCCTGGACAAATTTCCCATTGGCCCTTACCAATCATGGCCTCCTAATAATGCTCCTCTATGAATTGGCTTAATTACTCTGCTCTCCTCCCCACTGATCGCTGCATCCAGGTGGATGCTGCACATTGGTGGTGGTGGACACCTGTACAGTGCTTTGAGTGGAGTGTCCAGAAAAGCGCTATATAAGTGTAAGCAATTATTATTATTCAAATTTAAGTACAATATCCTTTATTCCTACAGGTATTAACTTGCCTAATTAGGACTACTAATTGTATATTTTATTTTTTTTCCATCATGAATATTTCTGTCTTACACACTGATTATTCAATTCCTTTGTTTTTTCTAAATTGTGGGAACTGCAGTCCCAATTTATCAGACTGCTTATCAAATCTCGGTAACTAACACAATAAATGAATTGAAGGTAATGCAAAATTTGACAAATTCAGAATTAAGCACAAAATCGTGAACTCCGTGGTCACCAAATTGCCACAGGACAGAGCAAGAGATTGCGAGAATTGTGACTTTAACCGGCCTTTCCTGCTCACTAGTCAATGTAATGACTAATGTACTGTACCTGTAATGTGATGTACGAGCAAATAAGTACAGGTTGTACAACAGGCTTTTCATCACAAAAATATTAACAAGTTAGTAGTATTTATCAGCGAAACCATCTCCAACTCAAGAGCAATATTTCTTTTGGATTAAAAGATGTATTCACAAGTCTGCTTGTTTACAATGCAATACGACCAGTTCAAAACTTCACAGGAAGTTTTATTGCCTTGTTCTGAACTACAATGATGGCAATATGGCGGTGTGCATACCTGGAAATTTAGGTAACTATAGTTACTTTTTAAAAATATTTTGTACTTGCAATACTTTTAAAAATAACCAAATCTGAAGTTAACTAATTTCAATGCAACTACTATACTTACAAGCACAAAGTTTTCCAATACCTGCGTACCTACTTTCATATTTCATATTTACAGTACATCATAAGATTGTATCTACTAACTAAACAAAAGTCCTTATCTTTATAATATTGATTACACTTTATATCTTAATAAGAAATTAATTATATTTTGCACTATAATACAGGTAAACTATAGAGATTTATTTTACATGAAGACATTAATTCAGTGATTGAAGGGTGAAATTTAGGGAGAAGGGGCAGCCGATGGTACATGGTTTGGTGCTTTGGTTTCCCCCCACAGTCAAAAAGACATATTGTACTGGTAGGTTAACTTGCTTCTGGGAAAATCAGCCCTGGTGTGACTGTGTGTGTCTGTGAGTGCCCTGCGATGGACTGGTGTCCTTCCCCGGGTGTATCTTTCCTTTGCGCCCATTGCTTACCAGCTCCAGCTGCCCCGTGACCCTGTATTGGATAAAGAAATTAGAAAATAATAATTAATAATTGCTTACACTTACAGTATATAGCGCTTTTCTGGACACTCCACTCAAAGCGCTTTAGAGGTAATGGGGATTGCACTCCACAACCACCAATGTGTAGTGTCCACCTGGATGATGTGACGGCAGCCATAGTGCGCCAGAACGCTCACCACACATCAGCTATCAGTGGGGAGGAGAACAGAGTGATGAAGCCAGTTCATAGATGGGGATTATTAGGAGGCCATGATTGGTAAGGGCCAATGGGAAATTTGGCCAGGACACCGGGGTTACACTACTATGTCCATCCTAAAATGGATGGATCGGAGTTACAAAGTGGAATTACTCAGGACACTGCATTGTAGTCCCAGTTACCACATCAGGTAAATACAGACAAAATAGACTTGTCATCTGTGCTACAGTAATAAGATGTTATGCTATTTTCCAGTGTTTTGAGATTCAAATCAAAACTGCATATTGATCTGTTGCTTTACAATATGTAGTCAAATCACATAAGCTTAAATATACACATTTTCAAATGCTTCAACTTAATATGTCTTTACATTAAAGCTCAAAAGTTCATGTTCCTTGGAATATTATTTCTGTGCCTTTCAGATAATTGATAAGTTTTGATGGCAAGTTGTAATTTGTAATGCTCAAGATAAAATATAAAGCCAATTGCATTAATTTATCAGCACATTCAATTCAAATTTATAAAGACAACTATTACTTCCCTCAATACCACCAAAATGTAACTCAATTACTCTAACATACCCACTTTAGTATATTAGAACATCTTTCTTGTTTTTAAAGCTCTCTAACCATAAACATATTATTTATGGGTGACTGGCTCTTTTGGGTTGCTGTAGTGTTGCAGTTAGCAGCTCAATAGAACAATATTTACAATTTACAACATTTATCTAGTACAATAGGAACTGTTTACTTTCTGTGTTTCACGCAATAGAAATGTTATTTGAAAAGAAGATTTCGTGTTCAGTTTGTAGGAGTGTATTGTAATTTTTGACTTATATCCCTAAACATAGAGGTATCTCTCAAGATATCATATGTACTGTATTATCAATAGGGACATAGAATAACTACAGGATATGGAGAAATGTACAGTTTATTGTGGGGGAAAGTTGTCCCATGGAAGGAGTACAGAGCCACTAGAGGGAGCCAAAATACAATCATAAGGACATTTGTGAAAGAATTTCATCTGTTAAATGCTCTCACCATGATTTACTCTTGTTGTATAATATTGAGCTAAAACCTTTCAAATAATTATCTTTATTTTGGTGCTTTATGTGCAGAGATCCCCCGAGCTTACAAAATTGGGGATCTTTTATATTAGATATATTAATACATGAATACCTTTTAAAAATAAAAAGAAATCTGTGTGAACTCTAAGCCTTTAAGGTTTCAATGAATATTTCTTAAAGAGGTGAAAGGAACTATTTTTAAATATACAGCAACAGAGGTAATAGTTTATATCCTCCATTTGTTAGATCATAATGTTTAGATAATGTGTACAGTAGTAATCCATATTAAAAGATGAGTTATGTTATTAACAGCTGTTCATGACTAGAATCAAAGTAATAGGAAATATACAAATTTGTTACAATAACATTTATTGGTTTCTGAAACTCAGTCAAGATCTTATTTTTACTATAATTTTGAAGCTTTTCCAATAGATAAATCGGATACAAGTTGCACATTTTTTTAGCTTTATTTCTCATTTTAGCATAAAAGTGGAATTAGGAATAATTTTGCCTACTTTACACCTACTGGTCTCCTACACTGAAATGTGTATTCAGTACTAGCAACTGTGAACTCTAGACTTGGAGACATCTTATTAACATCCACACTACATATACAAAACAAGCGCAGGGTTAGTTTCAATAAATAATGACTTTTAATGGCAAAGTAATAATTTAGACAGATACAGTGTGCACATCTGCTAAAAAATATAAGGAAGCTGGTTTACAACCTAGAGGTACAATTTTACTTCCTTTCCTTTCCACGGTGCTCCAGTAAAGAAAAAGAAAAATCAATAATACATCATCCAGTTTACTCTGGTGACACCAAATACTATTTATTAGGGCTTTACAAAGACTACAAAATCTTTCGGATGATTTAAATCACTGTCTCTGTCTATTTACATGATATGTTACATACAAATGTACAAAATATAAAACATTTAAAGACAAATGTTTCACAAAAAACTCTTCAAAGTAGTAAACTCTATGCACTCACTGAGATGTATTGCAAAAAAGTTGGAACATGTCACTTGGTTGATGTACCCACAATGGCCTAGACAGGATTTTTTTTTTGGTGAATGGTTTCAGACAACTGACCTTTAAAAATGTTGATACAGGACAGCCAGCAAGGTTTTCAATATATCTGTTTATTTTTGTCCTCAATGATGGGTAAGCAAGCAGCTGATTAAAGCTGGCCCTTGATGTGTAAAAGAGATGAAGCCTTTAGACCTGCTAGTTGAATACAGAAAGAAGGATTGTCCTGAGGGTTTTATCAGCATTAAAACTTTGCCCTTCTGTAATCAGATTTTAAATATGTTCAGTAGGTGGGTTAAGTAGCTGTTAGCACCTGAAAGATTGTTCCTGTTGATTTCAGTTTATTCCCACTTTTTGGTTTCACCTAAAGCAGGTCTACATAGTCTCAATGCCAGTAAAGTATTTCTCAACCTCCTGACAAACTGAGAAAGGAAAATAATTGGACATAGAAGTGTTTCACAATGAATGCTGTTATACTATGAAAAGTTAAACAAAAGTTTGTCAGTAAGCATTAAAGCTTTTGGGTCAAAAACTGGATAATGCTTTCTAGAGACCTTGGTGATACTTTCTCTAATTAAAAAAAATATAAAGTACATACAAATGTACAAACGAGGTCCCATCAATTTGTTTGATCGATCTGTTAATTTGTTATTAACAGATTTCCATTTGAATCAAACCTAATCAATGGTCTATACTGTGTTCTTGTGTAAAGAGAAATCTACCCCTCACAGGTGAGAGACATACAGTTCTGAATGTACTATAGTTTTTTTTTTCTTTGGAAGATCTAACCTGTTTGGGTCTGGAAGATTCAATATAGGATAATGTCATGTCTGGGGGCTGAGGATCACATTTAGTTTTGAGTAATGGCTTTGTGAAAGACAGTTGTTTTTTGCTTGCTTTAGTATTTGATTTTTCTCTTTGCTGTGTTCAGATTTGCTCTTTTCAGTATTATTGTAACAGACCTATTAAAACCATGCTCAACCTCCCTTAGATTGTTTTCATTTATTAATCTTTATGTTATCAAACTGGCACATGCTTCTATATATTCTGAAGCTCCTGCATAGGCAAACAACCAATTATTACAAGACAACGCACACCTGTTCTAATAGCTTGTAGGTTTGCATTTCTTTTTGTTTTTTATTATACATATTTTTTGCAAAATACAAGAAATCTCAGCAAGTTAAGCATATGTTAACATCAACAGGGCAGAATGTATCTTTGTTTCACTGTGCAAGACTTCTTATTTACAATATTCCCACCCCGATAAACTGTGCAAAACCAACCCGCATTTTATCTTAAAAAAGAAAAATAGAAAATAAAATTTACTCTTCTTCCTCCACCCCCACTCCCCTTACCAGCTGATCTTCCATCAGCTCTTCACTCAGTAAAATTAAATGTTTCATGTACACTTAGTTCAAAACAACATGCTGTATTAAACTGTATTAAATCAAAAGCTGTGCTCATGCTGAGTCAAGTGTCCCAGGTCAACTGGGTAAAAAAAAAACTGATGAGGACAAAAAAAAAAGAAATACCCCATCCCTTCAAATGTTTTTTTTCTAAAAAATCTTTAAATGTGTCATGTATAGCCATACTTTGCTCTAAAATAAAAGATAAAACTATAACAAAAATAAAACTGAATGTGGCAGTAGGTTTGATTTGTGGAATAGTTATGCTTCCAAGGGTAGGCAGTCCAAAGCAGTTCATTACTCTAATGTGCCACTCTTTTTAGCTTCTTCTACAAAAATATGAGCAGAAAAGATATGAAGATATTTCAAAAGACGCACACTTACACGAAAGCGTAAGTATGTGAATGTGCGTAAATCTGTCCTTTCTTACATTATTTCCTCAAGAAATGATTACAATGTTCTGTGGTTCAAAGAATAAACCGCATGTTCTTAGAAATTTGCTAGGAAGTTTAAGGCAGTGAGAAAGCACCATTATCAAATTTGTTCCCTTCTTTAAGGTTCTTGAAAAAAATAGTGAATTCTACAATACAGCCTTTAGCAGCTTTCTGTTGGTATAATGCTATAAATTGGTAAGGAGAGGGGTGAATGACAGGCATACCAGTTCAAAAGAAATAATACAAAAAAAAACCCATTATCTTTTTTAGTAAATTATGCAGCAAATGTGGGTGTATACATCACTGTGCACTTGGCAGTTATCATAAGGTACGATTGGCACTTGTCCAGTGTTTCACAGTAGTGGTTGTTTGGAGTCGCACAATGTGCTTGTGCTTGTTGTGAACAAGTTGCATGAATTGTGGAATGGGCGGTGTTGTAAACCGAAGACTGATTTAGTCATGTGACCAGCACCATGTGGCTCAACTGAGGTCAGGGTTGGATCAGAACAGCATGCATGCTGTTTCGATAGCACCTCAGTAAATTAAACAATATTTGCCCTGTAAACGTTTGCAGTTAAAAAAAAATACATAATACAAAATAAAATAAAAATTCCAGTTTTCTTAATACTATTTTCTTTGTATGTGCAGCCATCAATTAAAAGCCCCCTCAATTTGAGCTTTTTCCAGTTGAGAAATGGAGGTCTGTCATTCAGCTCCACAAGTATGGAAATGCCTTGAAATTAAATAAACATTGATCTTTCAAACATACTTGACCTTGCTAACAGGATGCTCCTGCCTACCTGCAACCTCCCATTCCCTTTCTGAGGACTTGGAAGTGTTGCATGTTTATTTATGTGGCAGAGATTTTTGTGGAAACACATTTGACATTTTTTTCTCTCTCTCATATACTCTTCAGCCAAGCCTCCTCTAGAGAGTGGATTCCAGCGACGAATCCAATAAGTCATCGTGGTGACTCGTGCTGTCGCTGTCACAGCTTTGAGCACTTGAATAATTGGCAGCCTCTTGCAATCTCATTAGCATGTTCATCTAGAAAAAAAATGAGAGAGAGGAATTTTATGGATCTGTTAAGCTGGGTTATGCAAAAAATACAATTAAATCAATAATTTCTTCATCAGAGGTTGCAGTTAAGACACTAACTAATTGCATAATTCAACACTTTTCATGGACAAATAGTACATATTTTACAGACACTGCTCTGATATAGTAAATATCAGCTCAACAATGTACAAATACCTTCAGCACAGAGAATGTCCGCTTAGCACATCTGACTTACAGTTATTATCTTAATTGTTTGTAGGAATTGCATTTGTAATGTCCTTTAGGACTCAGCCGAATACAGCTGAGCAGTTTCTCAATGAGACACACAAGTTATGTGTGAGGATTAAAAGCTCCTGTGAAGGAGATTTTTTCTCCCCTGAAATCACTTAAGGTTTATCACAGATGTACTGAAATTAAAGTTCAGTCATCCAAATGTGTAACGGCAGTTATGTATTGTCCTTTTTTTTTGCAATGCTTTAGGCCCGAGAAGAGTCACTGCTACAATAAAGAATCAAAGTTACTTTGCAGTAAAAATGCTCAAGTGAAAATCTTTCTTCAGAGCTTCAACTCTGTCTGAACTCCAACGGTGAAAATACAAGTCTACCGTATAACACCAGTTTGTTTGATGTTTCTTTAATTAAAACAAAAATCTATATTCTGTGGCTTTGTATGAAGGAATGCTGATCATCAGTCTTACCAGTGGGTCACCTTCAGTGTCACTCTGGGAAACCTGCTTGGAGGAGGCTCCTTCTTTGGCAGAACTATATCCATCATAACCTACATCTTCCGGCCGGAGCTGGAGCAGAGATTGCCAGTCATGCTGTAGAGACGCAGAGCTCCATGGGTAAGTATCTATGACCCATTTGGAAGGGTCCTCCCACGCAGCCCTTTTCCCATACAACTAAAACAGAAAGAAAGATATTTATGACTTTCCACAAACGTGTATCTCACTGGTTCAAAGTGAAGCAAAAGGACGACTGCATCTGAGGTTTTGCCACATTTACGTGTGTGTATTTTCTACAATACATGTAAGGAAACTTTTCTACAACTAGAGTTGGACAGTATCTAGCATACTGGGGCAGCAATTAAACTGATGCAGCTTTCCAAGATTCAAATGATTAGGCGACGTTTCTATGATTATTTGGTTGTGTTTGAGAATGAAATATTTTTCCTCTGTAAAATTATATATATTTAGAATAGTCTATATAAAAATATCACACAAGGATCAGTGAACAGTCACTATAAAGTATGGGAATGTGAACATTAATTAGATCCAAAGAGGCTTAAGTGGGGAGCTTTGACAGCATGGTTTGACTTGAAAGGAACAAGGAAAGGTTAGTTCCATTATTAGCTCTGTCCATTTCACAATTCTAGAAAGCAGAACTCAAGAGTCTTCTGATTACACTTTGTGTTTATTGTTCAAACAAAGTATGTGCAGTACATACATGTGTACAGCTTGCTCATTTTACAACAGTTCCATCTAGAAGCTTAAGGTTTCTCTTCTCTACTCTGAGATATCCTCTTGCATGTTGGCTTCATGCAAGAACTTCTACCTCAAATGTGCTGAGGACACGGTGTGTCTGTCCTTGTGGTGTCATCAATTCTCTTTCCCAGAGACCAGGTTTAATTCAGCTACCACTTCTTGAATTCCTGCTATTTTCTCAAGCTTCATTTGCTTCCTGTGTCTCTCAGCTTTTGCTCGGCAGCCCAACCACAGCCCTCTGACAGATACTCCTACATGCAGAGCTTTCCTCCCAGTAGTTTAGGAGCCTGTGTATTTTTAGATTTCCTCCTCTAAGGTCCTTTCCTTGCTGGGTCTATGGGCAGACTACAGCTCTCCCTCTGAGCTGTTCTTTGATACACTTAGAAATGAGGAACACCTGTGAGTGTGACTGGGATTTCTAAGGGAGATATTTTTTTCTTTCATTTCCCACGTGGAAATCTGTGGAGAGTGACTACAGAGCCCTGACTACATGGGGAGGACTAGAGCTCATAGCTCAAGGCAGAGCTAAAATCCTTTTTGCAGCTACATTGTGACAACATATAGTGGCAATGGCAGGTATAGGAAAGTTCAAGTACTGTAGGTAGCTGCGTAAAGCATGCATAGGCTGCAAAGGAACAAGTAAAGGTTGATTACAGTACATGCTGAAAAAAGAAGAAAAGAAACACAATGTTTAAGCTGCAGAGCCTTCTTCCTGAAGCCACCCAAACACACCCACACGTGAAGAAAGCTCGACGGCTTAAAAATTATGTATCTTTTCTTCTCTTTTCAGCATGGAATAAACCTTTACTTGTTCCTTTGCGGTATAGGAAACTGGCCTACTCTGGCTTGAACTACATTCCCCAGAAAGGTGTTGGGAATGTCCTGCCACCCTTGGTCACCTGACCTGTTACTAGAAGACAATTGAGCAAGAGAGAGGGGCGTTTTCAACTGAACATTGTCAAACAGCTTCTATATCAGTAGTGTGAAGTATTATTGCATCAAGCCTACCTGAAGCCCCTCTCTCACGGCCTCCAGAAGGTAAGGTACTAGGGAGTAGTTCCACAGGTCAGTGAACCAAACCCGGGAACCATCTGCATCCATAGGACAGGACAGGAAAAGCCTGGGACCTGCAAAGCAATAACATCAAAGCATAAAACTGCGTTATCCTTTTTCAATTATGATTTTTTTTTTAATTCAGAAAGAAACTCACAATAGGCCCAGGCTCCCTCGCGACCTTGTATTGGAGTGGATCGATAAAATAAATCAACAAACGGAAATGTCACATTTAAAAACATTGCATGAAAGGTAATATTGTGTTTTAAAGTCTACTTTGTACCAAATATTTGGGAATTTGGGATTTGGAGCTACTGAGTCATTTGTCCAGTTAAAGAACAGCTAGGCTGATCTTAAAGGCAAGATTTCACCAAACTCAGTCCTGACCATGTCATTAGCTACCTATAACCAGGGTTCCACAAGCACTACCAGGGTTAAGTGGGCACGAACTGGTCAGTGTTTGTCCATTTGCCAAGCAACAGCAACCCCTGTGGTGTGTGGGATACTTGTGAGCTTCCAGTAGTATGATCTGGAGGTTCATTCAATGCTAACTCTGCTGTAGGTACTACAGCTTGCAGGGTGAAATATGACATTTTGATAGAAGGTGCTGCTCTAGTTTTCTAGCAGGAAATTACGTTGATAACTAACCGATGGTAACATCTGAGGAGCTGTGAGCCTCCAGGAAGCTGTTGAGGTGCTGCCATGTTTTGGGGATCCAGTCAATGATTTTCATGAGGTCATTGCTTCGCATATTCTTGTCAATCTCTGTCTCGATGAGCTTTCTGCGAAGGTATCGTCCCAGAAAACCCTTCACTGGTTCTGTGTGATTGGCACATAGCACCCACCTACAAGATAGTATCACAGTTTAATGTAAGAGAAACAACAGCATATTAGTTATTATGATGCAGATTAAATATTCAAGCCTGTAATGTTATTTATAAAACATAAGCAAGTTATAAGTGAGAAAGTGCTACTGAAATGTTATTGGACATAATAAATGATTATGTTTTATTTCTCATACTGCAAGACAGCAAGTGATTTTCATTGAAGTACTGTAAACAGCTTTGCTCACAATCATCAAAGGCTAACAATTTGTAAAGTACTTAATTGCATGTTTTATGTAAATATGAAAGCTTTGATGCTCTAAATGTGAGCTAATTAATTTGTGAACTGCATAACAACACAGCACAGAAGCTTTCTCACAAAGCTGGCTCAATTTGTTCCATGTACCTGAAATTGTGGTGAAGCTCTAGGTTTGGTGATGAGGATACTCCCTGGTTCATGGTTCCAATAACATAAGGACTACAATGTAAGCAAAGAGAATTACAGGAGTAATGCAAAGAGGAAAAAAATAGTTACTGTTAATTAAATAACACGTATGCACAAAATTAATAAGAAATAGTAATTGATCTTCACATATGAAATCAGAATGATTATGAAAACTTATCAAATATGAGCAACTTTGAATCTGCATTATAAACTCAGAGCCTATTAAATAACAATGTAATAATGCAGAGGAATAACATTTTTGTGATCTTAATTTTAAGATTTAAAATAAAAACACTCTCTTTTGTCCCCTGGCAACTAAGAAAAATGGTTCTTGCTCAAGTTAATCTATGACACTTACCATTTATGATATTTACAATTGAGGAATCCATTGAAAATGTCACTCAGAGAGCCAATATGATGGAGGTTATCAAGTATAACAACTGTTGGGAGTTCCGTTTCATTCTCTTCAGAGTTGCACTGTTCGGCAAGGGTAGACAAGTACTGTCGTAACTCCTTAAACAAACCATGCAAAATAATAAATACATTAGGGTCTCAAAGCTAATTCGATATAAGTGAATGAAAATGCATCAATACCTAGGCGCTTTTGTTTATATACATTAATATGTGAACACACAACTGATATGTCATTATAACTAAATATAGCTTTGACACATTATTCCAACTGTCTCAAAACAGACAAATATAATATATATATAATATGTTATACACAATATACACAAACATAAACATCCTGTAAGTCACTGTTAATAACAATGACTGGAATTCCCCTGGAGGAGAACAGTACAATGATCTAAGGCCTGGAATGGTTTGGTGTGTATGAGGTAGTGAGTGAATACTCCACTAGCTGGATGGCAGCCATCACTGTGAGTAAAAAGAATGTGGTTGTAAAGTTCACACACATAAATGTCTGCTTATAAAATTAGGTGACGCAAAAAAATGCAAATTAAAATAACTCCATTGATCAGTATCATTGAAAATGTGTTTTATCACCTTGCTTGATTTGTGGTCCACATTAAAGCTGGTGACGTTTCCTTCACTGACATGTCTCCCAGATTTGCAGACTATGTACTCTGCAAGCTTATTGGCTAAGTAAGTCTTTCCAGTCCCACTTGGCCCGGACAGGATGATTCGTCTGTGCTCCATGAGAAGGTTTAGGTATCGCTGCACAATTGTTTTGGGTATCAATGTGTCAAACACCAAACTGTCGATGCTGTTCTCCTTTATACCTAACAACACAAGCAGTCAAAAGTTGGCGATCATGCAGGCAAAACAAACTTTCAGAAAATTTCAGATGTTTTCCTTACCATGGAAAGTAAAAGAAGAAATGAAGATTATGTTTTTAAATGGAAAACATTCTGCACAAATGACCATAAGAAAATATGGTTGACTTATTCTTCCAACAATAAATTCTGTCTTTTGCCCAGAGTTACATCTCTGTAAACCCTGAGGTTCACGGTGTGTCTCCCTTGTTAGGAAAGATGCAAAATGTAATTTCTATAATGTCATTTGATTACCATACTTTCTCAGTTCTTGACTATGCAAGTTTAATTTGAACTTAATCAAGAAACCAACAGTTTTACTTAATTTTATTCTCATGCAGGTTTTGACCTTTCTTCACCCTTCTGCACTTTGCACTTCCTGAGTGGCCTCTCCTGCCTCCTCCCCAGCTTTGGTTCTTCTGTGCTATTTAATCTTTGCTGTCTGCCCTGTCTTTCTCACACCTGAAGAAGGCTTCACAGCCAAAACGTTGTGTTTTCTCTCTTCTCTTTTCAGCATGGAATAAACCTATTACTTGTTCCTTTGCAGACTACGCATGCTTGACGCAGCTACCCACCTGAACTACTGCACTTCGTTTTACCTAATGTTAACCAATTAGTTTCCCTATATCAAACATTAGAGAGAAATTAAATAAATAAAATAAAGGAAATAATTCTAGACCTGTGTATATACAGTATACACATTATATACTGTAAATAAATCTACCATGACCCCGGAAAGGAAAAAAAAAACAAAAGAAACAAGGCTGACCTTATCCTTTCATCACCTCCCATGCAAGGTGGGCTGACTGCTGTAAATTTATTGAAGTTAAAGGACCGTAATCACTGACACATGACTGAACTTGAAATAAATAAGTGGACGCCGGAACTGGAATCAATGCAAAATTGGCAGCTCATTCCACAGGGATAGGAGGAATTGTTAGCCAGTGCAGTACATTACAACGGCAGACTGCTCTGAAGTGAAATTAATTAGTACAGAGCAGCCTCACATTTTATCGATCACACCATTATAATTCAGAGTTATGCTCGCTTTGGGTTGAATGTTTATACCAATGCTTTCTTTGCCTACCACAATGGGGTATGTGTGTGTTTGAATGAGTGTGTGTCCATTCACCATATAATACAGGCATCAAAACCCAGAAAGCCTCTGAAATTGTTAAGAAAAAGAGTTGTAAAGGCAGATACAAAGGTGCAACTGATACAAAACAGCTCAAGAGAAAAGGGAGGGGATTTTCGAAGGCAGCGTAATTCTGGAACTCTCAGAATTAGGAGTGAGTCATCAGTTACTGTCCGTTTAATTAAATATTAAGAATTACTGTACTTACATATATACAGTAATACATTTTAAAATTAACATCAAGGTTTCCAAACAAAATTTGGGGAAAACAGTACTCACCTGCAGTGATCTACATAGTGTGTGCATAGTTACTGAGCAAAACAGTACATTAGCTCTTAAAAGCATTTTTCCTATTCGCTTATTAATTTAAAACATACTCCTCGCACAAGTAGTTTGTAACTATAATTGACTACTTTAAAAAGTAACAAAAAGTACCTTTCCTCAATATTGTTATGTAAACCTTAATCTGCCTCAAAAAAACAATTTTCTCCATTGTGCTTTTACTTTTAAAAGGAAGCCCTAACTATAACTGAACGCTTTTTAAAATGAACTTTTTCCAACATGTATGCAGTTTATACATTTATATTAACAATCAGAAAGCTACTTATTGATCATAATGGTTATGCTAACAATTCCAAAAGTACAAGGTGTTAGGTAGGACACCAGTCCAATGCAGACAAAACAAACACAGGGCCTATTTAGAGACACTAACTAGAACATAATTAATGCAAGAGAGGAGGCCTTTTGGTTTATCTACAGTAGTTCTGAAGATAAAACAAAGTTAATCTAATATTTTGTTCTGCTGCTTCTTGAAAGAGTTCACAGTAAAAGAAATATAGTTATTAACTTAGCAAGTTTTAGAAAGGTGAAAGAAAACTTCAGTACTTGGCAAAAACCTACACTAACACAAGGACTTGCAAATTCTACACAGAAAATGCCCCACTCCAGAATCAAACCCAGGACTCAAGAACTGTGAGGTAGAAAACTAATCAACAGGCCACCTTTCTACTCACTATATATACTCTATATGAATTTTTTCTTAATTAGAATATATTCCGTTTATAAATTATGGATTCACCAGAACTAAGGATTTTTAAACATTATCTTCTTTTCTAACATCATTATGTTATTTTGAGCTACAGTATCGTGCTGTTTTTCAGAGTGTGATTAGTATTTACATGTGCATGTATACTCTACATACTGTATGTAAAAATTATTAACCCTTCCATCATTTATTTCTTTATTTAGTAAAAATAGCTAAATACATATGTAGCAAATCTGTTATTTATTTGCAGTAAACCAGTAAGATCCTGAACTAACAGAGTGCTTTTCAAACTATGTCCAGTTTCCTTTAATCACCACTCCCCTTTTAACAATATTGTCAGGATTATTATTTTTCCTTATGATTTTATGATTTACTACTTAAACAGCTTCCCTCAACTACCCCCGCCCAGGAAAATATCTCTTCTAAATCACCCCTACTGTAAAGCTAATGTCTTTGTTGCCTTCTCTCAATTTAATTTGCATGGCTATTTACTTAAAGCACCAATATCGGAATTAAATCGACTTGTGGCAATGGGACAAAAAGCAGCTGGACATCTGATGGTCAAGTACAAGATGGCACAAAAACATGAACTTGAAACACATGTTTTTCTATATTTAATAAGATTGGAATATTCTATATAATATTGAAATATATAAATATTTACAGTAATAATAAAAGATTTACGGAGAAATTATATTTCATAGAATACACAGACTCTGATATGACACCAAGAGAATTAATCTCAATTCCTACAGAAAATACTGTAATACTTAAAGACAAATTCACCCAGGTTATAGAAGGTTTCAATTCTTTAACGGCCACACAGGAAAAAAGATCTATTTACATGTTGCAACTAATGAATTACCAAAGAATCTGTAGCAGGATCAGGGAATCAGAAGGGGTCTTAACTACTGTACAGCCATTCAACATTTATAGCACAGCAGTTCGGAGGAACATAAAGTCCTAAAGAGATATAAATGAAAGGAGTCAATATTTGGTTTAATGAAGCTATTTAGAACCAATACTGTTTAGATTAGACAGAAAAACCCCAATGTGATGCAGTCAGCAGGGGATTATAGAGCATCATCTGAACCATGAAAAAGCAAATGATGACTTTTTTGATGTTACAGTCTGAGAAAATTATACAAATTAACTGTATGATTTCACTCCTTGTCCTGTTTTACAGCCTTCTTGCTCATTCCTGTTTTGCAAAGCCTTCACAAAGACAAATGGGGAGGAAAAGCAGTGTGGTTGCACTTTACACCTACTGAACATGTCAGCTGGGATTTATTACACAGATACATGAAATCTAATAATGTGACCAGCCCATACAGTAGCAACAGACGTTTCACTGGAAATGGGCTATTAACAATAGTCCAAATTATATATAGGAGTATCACTGAAAATTCTTATTGTTCTAACATTTTCGCAACACATTATTAGGAAACAAATGAAATGTGAGACAAAAAAAAACATTGAAAAAGCTCTATAAAGGGTGCAAAGCCTTAAATGTAATCTTTATGTTCCTTTCACATTAGCTCTGTTTATGTCCTCCATTGGCATGTTAACTACTGTGTCAAGTGCACATGCTCCCATGGAGGAAACTGAAAATACCTCAGTTTAAATCCATACTCTGACACAAACAATTTCAAATTCCGTATCTATTACCATCCAGGATCAGCCTTGTCTCTCATCTCAGTACTGACTAAGTCCAGCTTGCTTAGCTTCTTAGATCTGACAAGATCAGGTTACAAGGTGATGATGCTGCAGTCATCTAGAGTATGTACTGCATGTGTAAGCTCTACATTATTAAGGAAACTAATCAAGAAACAAATACATGATGGTTTTCCGGCACTTGTTTTAAATTGCTTTTTTCTTGTTTTATAATGAAGTAAACGATAAATACCATTATGAATGTGTAACGATATATAGTGTATGAACACTATATTCAGCTTTTTTCAAAGCAATTAGTCTAACTCTGTATATGAATAGATGTGTGTTGTTTCTATAGATGTTTTAGTTTATCAGTGTTCCTTATATGGAACAATTTCCACTGATTATCTTCTAGCTTTATATTTTATACAGTATATTAATTTAAGCGTGTGCCCAGTTTTGGGAAAATGAGAAATAATTTAGTTGAGAGCTGACATGGGAATTGACTCATATATACACACATACTGTTCAAATTCACACATCAGCTGTCAGGTACAGGACAATTATAGCAATATGTTCCCACTTTTAAATTTGTGTGAACATGCTGTTTAAAAGGGTGAGAAAGGTTTGAGAGAGGGTGGTGGAGAAAAGATGCTAATGAAAGCAAACTATTAATGAGAATGGAAAGTAAAACACCTTCTATAAAGACTACTGGAATGTGATGTTAAACAGAATTTGCTATAGACATGAAAAGATATATTTAAGGTTTTCAGTGTGCTAAAGCTACATATGCAGAGGATAGGTTATTCATTTAACACAAAATCCGCCACATGCTATACTTCTTGTTGAATTATTTAAAGTAACATTTTATTATCACCCATTGATACCTCTTTGATATGGATTATTTTTGCAGAGAAATGTACCCTTTTCAAATACATTTTTTACAGTAATGTTTCTGTTTTCTTTACAGAAATCATGTTTACTAGTGTCTGAGAATCTTTACAGCTCTGAAAAATGACTGTAATTAAGAATTAGATTTAAGATTAAGCAAAACCCAAATCCACACAAAATCTTGAAATTGCATAAACCAAAGCTGCTAGGGTACAATTCAAGTGCTGGAAACTGAAATTAGGCTCCAGCTGTACAGTAGGCCAGCTTCAGTTAAGTGTTCCTGACATCTATTATCAAGATAAAATACCTACTTTTATGAGCTTTGTGGTACTTTCTGATGCTTGTTAATGTGATACATTGGTCAGGCATGAGTTACAGCACACCTTACCTCAATATTGCTTTTTTTCTTTTGTAAATATACAGTATTAGCACTTTGAATTTATCTTTTTCACAATGATAATAGATAGAAAATCCTACCTTTGAGGCTCACAGTGATAACATTATTGTCTCCAACTAGGTATCCACAAGGCAGCAATTCAGGCACTTCTGAAGCATGGGCCCTGACCACATCTCCCATTCTGTAGCTCACAATACTGTCCGAGTTTAAGCCAAGGCTTGTGACAGGGTCTATGCGGAATATGTACTCCTATTTAATGAAACCAACAAGACACACACAACGGTTAGTACTGAATCCGTGCAGGAACTGTGAAGTTTGAGTAGGGAGTTTAGTTGCAAGTTACGTAAGTTCTTTTGGAACTGTATGACAACTAGAATGCATTACAAACTACTGGAAAGCAAAATATACTTCTTACGCTGAATTAGAAAACAAGACATTTTAAGAGGCGCAGTGAATTTACTGTACCTTGAATAACCGCCGGATGACTCCATCTAGCACATCCCATTTTGTCTTTCCACTAACACCGATGGATCCTATGAGATATTCCTGACATTTCACACCCTGTTATGAAACAAAATATATTATCTGTATCTTCTTAAATTAAAGCTTGTAGTATTTAAAACAACAATCCAGCATCCCCACCAAAAAAATGTCCGTTGTAAACTAGCAATATTTTTGGATCCCTGAAAGAGGATGGCTGATTTAACAGTTACTTAATCTGATTTATCACTAGGTTATCATAGTTTCACATTTAGAACTCTGTCTTCATATATTGTAGGAGTTAAAAGCAGCAGAACACTTTATTAATGACCAGCTTTACAGTTGTCACATACAGTAGATAGCTGACTTTAAACACTATCTCCAGCACACCTCTGGGTGGACTCACCACCAGAAATGAGTCTTAAACCTAATTTGAGAAAAGCCACAGTGTCCGTTGATGTATTGAGTAGATAAGAGAGTGCAATACCTACAATAGGCTCTTTGCGCTCCATAAAATGCTTTTAAAATTGTCTAGAAATGTAGAAGGTCAATTTTTCACGGAATGTTATCATTAATTCAGTCACCTTTGTTTGGTTTGATCCGTCATTGAATGTAACCACAATTCTAACACTGCGGCCTTCTTTTCTCAAGGTTCCTTCATATCCATCATCCAGCAAAATATCTGTAAAAACAAAGGCAACTTGCATTGTGTTTAAAAAGAACAATTGGCATTACTGTTTACATCAATGTGACTCGCTTTGTAGCTGCCTTTTAAGCTTACAAAACCAACATATTTCTCCTTTTCAAATTCCACTCACTCCACATGAATAGAAATCCATTATTGATAATGTGAGGTTGAAGACATGACATACAGTACAAGGGTGAGATTTCAGGTTGTCTAATGGAAACCAGAAAACACAGGAGAGTTCACAGGAATATTTTAAACATTAAAATGTAAACAATATTGAACAAATGTTGATTGTATTGAGTCATGCTTGACAGAATAATTATAATATTCTATATTTTAAATGTTCTGACATTTGGAAAATAATTCTCAGGGTGGAAGCTCAGTTTAGAAATTCCATGTGTTCTAGTAACTTCCTCTATGCATGGTCTCTGTACTGAGGTGATAACAGGATAGTTATTCCGCTAGCATAGTTATTTTCCATCTCATTACTGAGCTGTTTACATTCTGCCATCATTAAAACAGCTGGGCCCTTGGAGAACCAAGCACTTTCTAATTTAATTACAACAGAAGTACTGAGAAGAATGTATTTTACACTTGGGCTGTCACCTTAGGAAGAGACATTATGTGAGCAAACTTAAAATTGATTCCATTATTCATAAATAACTGTATTCAGTTTTTATCCCACACATTCCTTACATGAACTATGCACATTTGATCATTTTATAAGTTATTTATGCTTCATATCTCATAATAATATAATGTGCTGTGTGTAAAAATGTACAGGTACTGTATGCTTGCCTTATTGTAGAGCATGTTTTTTATAGGTAACTGTGCTATTGAAACTGATTTTCAAATAAAGAAAAACAATAAAGATGATGACTTTTTCACCCTGCCCTTGACAGTAAGGAAAAGGTTGAAATGTACAGTATGAAGGCTACACCAGTGCAACTTGTAGACAGTGGCACTTTTAAAAGACACAGGTGGCGTTCAATTTAAAGATAATATTACTGTATATCATAACTAGCAGTCTGTTTAAAGATTTTTTAAAGACTTACAGTACACATTACGTTCCAGTCATTGTGAAATTAAACTTATAATCAAATAGCTGGGCGAACTATGCTGCTCTCAAGGTCATGTTGTCGAATTACTACTGCTGTATGATCTAATGTTATCAGAATATTCATGTAGGTGAGATGAAAGTGATTACCTTGAAGTACATACATGCAGCACACCAGAGTATGTATTTACCTGACATGATAGTGTCGGTGATGTTGAGGTTGTTGAGGGACAGTCCCAGTGACTGCCGAGACGAGGAAGAGGAGGATGTGCTTGAGGTCTCGGAGGGCGGGCGTCCTGCCTTTGCGGGTGCAGCTGCGGGAGTTGTGCTTCCAGTTGATTTCAGCCGGTCATTTTCAGCTTTCAGTAGTTCAATTTCATTCTGGGAAGCGCGGGACATGATATTGTCAATGGGCAGCATGATTCCGTGGTAGCTAGAGCTGGTGTCTCACAGCTCCAGGATCCTCGGAACAGTTCTGGACTAGCGAATGTTGCTTGTGTGGAATTTGCATTCTCTCCCCATATTTACGTTTGTTTTTAATGAATGCTCTGGTTTCTTCCTACGTAACTCCCAAAGACATACCCGTTAAATTTGCATGGTTAGTTTTAACTTTTAGAATTCGTTCCTTTCCAGATATTGAAGGGCTTCAACGAGATTTCATATATGGGAGGGGGGATTGTTTAGAGTACAAGCAGTACCAGTTATGGGACTACACAAAAACATAACCTGATGAGTTCAGTGGGCAAATGGCTCCACTCATCTGTGGCATTTCTTATGTACTGTTACACACAGGGAAAAATTACCTTGACCACTTAGCCTAATGGTTTGGAAAACAATTCTTTAGGTGAATGAAATAGATTGAGATTAGTTTTAAAGAGCCTGATGCAAGAAAAGAGCTTTTACATTTTTATGAAACATCAAGGAGGATTTGATCATAAATGTTTATGTGGCCTTCTCTTTAACAAATAGGAGAAAAAAAGTTTACAATATTCTTTTTACTATTTACATTAGTATGAGGTTGAGGTATGATTATATATTTTATTATCGGCCTTAGTTGTTGAAGGATTGGTTTTAGCTTTTGTAACAGTTTTTGCTGGAATCCATAAAACCAAACTCGAGAAGCACTCCAAGCCACACCGACCTTAAATTTGTAAACAAAACTAATACATTTATGTGTAGTTCATGTGTATTTGTCAGTTGACAGTGTTGAATGTGACCAGTAACCCCCATTGCAAACTTCCTTTCCATTTGGAATTTAAGAAGCAACACACATTTCCTTTATTAAAGTCTCTCTATTGCTAGCAAAGTGTCTTTAGTTGAAAAAAATGTTTTGTCTTGCTGTGGTTTGCATTTAATGAGTTTGTATTTTGTTGCATTACTGTACTTGCAACAAACATGAACTGCCTTTCAGCTCCACAACCACCTTTACAAATGTATAACAGACACTGCTTGCAGTTTATTATCTCCCAGAGGTTGTAGAGGTCTTGGCAACTAACTTCAGTGTAATTGTTAAGTCTTCAACTTCAACTGTAGCTCCAATCAGATAAATATTTGAATATCAGCAAAAATGTTTCCGAACACTCAATTTTTATATTTATTTATATTAAAAATATTGTGATTTCCTGCAAACACAATTTGAAATTGAACATATTTGCCAATACATGAAGCAAATAGAGTCTCTGCTGTAATTAGCTCCATAAGTTGGTATGCTATGTTATCTCCATAAACATTGGTCTGGAGTTGGGATGCTTGGGAATAAATATAAACCTACAAGAGACAAAACAAGCCCTTTTACATTACGTACAAATTGGTAATATGTAAGAGTTTGGGCTGTTGATAAACAGCTCACTCACTCTCCCTTTGTGAAATATTTCCTTCTAAGTTTGTCCTTTTTCATTCTCGCTCAACTGGAAACGGGATCTTGGTGATATTAACAGTTGCTGACAGCTAAATAAGCAAAAGCCTGGGTTCTCTGTTAAATCCTCAGTGGTGCCAAGTGATTACTATGCTTGCACAGTTCAAATAGAAACTGGGGATCAGCACAGCCCTGCACTAGCCAGCTATGACCTCTTAGTCACCCTGCTTCAGACCACAAAGCATTTGCTTATTCCTGCAAAATCCCTGCACATCACATTAGTTCCATATCAAGGTAATATAATAACAGAATGTCTTACAGTCAGTCAGAAAGTTCCTCCATCCTAGACACTGTTGATCAGTGCTCAATCACCCATTCAGCTGGTAAAATAAGCTTTTGATACTGCTGCTGTTATGCAATTTGGTACAAACTTTACACAAACACATAATATGAGTTTTTTCTTGCCTTTAGAGCAAAAAGTAAAAGCTACCTCTTAATTTTCAATTTTCTCTTGTGCAATACATCCCTTTGGTAGGGTTTTGATTTACTTTGATAAGACTTAGCCCACTCACACAAAAGCATGTGACTTCCTTGGGATTTTGAAATAATAGCATTTTGTTCATAGCACATGATTTCTTTTGTGTTCTGCAATTCTTTTATCATTAAACATTTTTAAGACTTCTGAAAGACTGGAAAGCCATTCTTTACAGAGTCTGTTAAAGAGCCTGTTGTGCAATCTTAAAGGAGAAAATAGCCATATAGCCACCTGACACTATTTAAAGTGGTTTCATAATTTTAAAACACCTTTCAGATCTTATAAATGTGATGTTAACTGCCAACACCAGAATATCAGTTATACTATTATTTAGTATTTAGTGTGTAATCATAGAGTCTTCTGTCAATTCTAAAATGTTCACATTCATTTATGTTAAGAGAATGTGTGTGCACATACAGTATTCAGTACTCATATTGTATGTGCAGTATATTAATATCTCTAATATTATCTATATCATATATGAATTAACTGAAACAACAGCACATACAAGCATTCATTCTTTTTTTACATTGTAAGAAAACCTTTGCAAAAAGTGTTTCCAAAAATGGTCTTAAAAAGCAGAGCTTTGGAAAGCCACAGATTCTTCTTACATTTATCATGTGATAAAAAAAAAACTTCTGTCCATGGCATTTGTAATTAAGTACTTTAATCAAGACATTTAAACATCCAAACAGTTTTATATTGTACTGGTAGAGACAGACATACTGTATTTTACCTACATATTTACCTATTTGATGTTTCTGTCCTGCCCTTATAAAAAGACTATTTTCTACAGTATTCAGTTTGTTACCAGGGCTTTTCTATTAGTAAGGTGAAGGTGAGTGGGAGGCCTTGGGGCAGGACAAGTTTGTAAAGGAGTGGCTAAAAACAATCTTGTTGGGTTTTTTTTTTTACCAGTGGTTGCATCCAGTTTCATGACAAAAGCAGAGATGGCCAAAGGTTTTTCTAAGGATTTGAGTCACCTCATTTATCATTAAGAAGCAATTTGCCACTATACTTTACTGAGTTTTAACCTTCAGTTTGAGATGTTTTAAATGTCTTTGTCATAAAACACTGTATGAATACAGTAAAAATAATACAGGTTAATTTCTTTGTTATGTTTTAAACTCTTACTGGCAAGCTATGAAAGAGAACGTGAAAATAATCATAGTGAGTGTTTCCATTCTTATGTTTTAACATATGTCGCAATAAAATAATGTTCTTTGAAAGAACACCACTTTTAGAATCATGTTTAAAAGTCCTATTTACACCTGCAGGAAATGTTGTTGAAAAGACTCGTATGAAACACTACAGCATGTCTGAAACTGAACATCACAATTAGACATGGTTAAAACAAAATTCATTCACTGAAAGCAACTGTCAAGATACTGTACAGCACAGTTAACATAATAATGATGCTGTACATACAACTCTATACCTACTATATGTCTTCCATTGCAAGGTTCAGTGAGACCTATACAAACCTGCATTCTGTTCATGGCTTCACGGATTTGGTCAAGATGGTGAGCTGAGCTGAGGGCCTCCAGCCGAATATCCGTCAGTTTGAGTTCCTTCTCCCGCAGCTCGTTCTTCAGCTGAAGGATGATCTCTGCCTCTGCTTCTGTACACTCGCACAGCCTGCAAGAGAAACACAATTAAAACACAGCCCCCAGCTTCAGTGGAGGAGACGAGATTCCTCCTCATACCAAAAGAGTAAATTTAGAACACAGGGCTGATGTCTTCAAATCCACACCAAAGGGTCCTTACGATACCATCAATATTAAAAACAAAGAGTAAAAAAAGATTAAAAAAAGATCATTAGGGACTTGCCAGCTCCAGTATTTCACAAGTTTAAAAATGATTTGGCTTCAATCTTATCTTACCTACAAGTACATGCTACCTTTGAAATCAACTTGACATTACTCTGTGCTGTCTTAGTAAAATATGTACTGTAGTAGACAGTCCAACTACTAATCACAAATATTCAAAACAAACACTGATAACATAAGGTCTTACTGACATTACAGTTTGCTCCCACATAATTTAATACCTAAATAGTTCACCTCATATCTATTCTACAGTATTATAGCACAACGTTAGGCATTTAAACAATCTTTACCACAGCATAAAATACTGAACTAAAGAAAATGTACATTTAGTTTTCAGCCATGCAGAATCTTAACTGCAAAACTTAGAGCTTGGAATTATTTTCAAAATCCTAATACGTTATCATCCACTCCATATACTTTCAAAGCACACATTCTAATTTCTAGAAACCAGACAAAATTAAAATTTAAATACATTTACGTGGTCTCCTTTTGGAGAAAGTAGCAGCGCTACTTTAATTTTTAATTCAATAAATGTTATTTGGTTAATGACACTACATAAATTGTTGACCCCCAGGTGTATATAAAGCTAGAGTATAGTATATAGGCCTGTATATGATTTTACATGGAGGCTGTGCCAAAGCAGTTTAACTCTCACTTTGACCTAAATACTAATCCAATATCCTACTATGATGGTTTCCTGGAGTGCAAACTTCTGTTATTTCACCTCCTTTTTCAGTACCTAGAGGTGTAGCTATTACAGATCTCAGCAGCTCTGCCGGCCCATGGGACATACAGTAGCACCATGCCCTAGCGATGGGTATTGTTCACCAAAAGAGAACAAAGCCCTCTCCTTCAATGTCAGCTGGGAGGTGGAAGAACAACCAGTTGGAAATGAACTAACAAGATCTAGAAAAGCCAAACTGTAAACAAACTATTGCTTTAACTCTGGACCCACCCAGTCCAAAATCCGGGATTCTGCCCCCTCAAACGTTAAAAGTCTGTGGATCAACCTTTTTAAACCTACATGACAAAGGTCATCGTGAAAAGGGGCTCAAGTCATGAAAGCAGGTTGTGGAATGACGAACGACCTCTGTAGTCTGTGCTCTTCATACAATAATGAGGGGGCACAGAGGCTGCTCAACTTTAGAGTTAGGAGGGACAGAAAAGTTCCTTTATTTGGGAGTTGAGAGTCACAGAGGTTCCAAAGGTTTGCATGCCTTTCAATCTTTCTTCCTCCAGAGGGAGGAAAATCTCTCACAGGCTGACAAGACTCATGGGAGTGGAATCATAGACAGGGGCTGAAATTAATAGGGGGAAGCACTGCTGCTGTCCTTTCCTTTTGTTTCCAGGAAGAAACTTAATGTTTCTTGACTTTATTGTGTTAAAATATTATGGCTATTTCTTGGTTTTGATTAAAAGGATTCTATGGTATTAAAAAAACAGAAGACATGCTGTGACAATTTAACTGATATTGTCTGAGAATAAGTGGTGGGAAATTTAATTAGAAGCACATACAGATTCAGCAGAAACTGAGGTGTTGTTGTAGATGGCTCTTGACAGAAAATGTTTCAAATCTTTTCTTACGCGTGATGAATATTTATGTTTTATAAAACAGACAAAGAACAGAAAAAACATCAAGGCACTCCACACTAAATCAACAAAGCATGCAGCACACCATCCTTTACCGAGATCTGTGCTTGTAGATCACATGGCCATTTTGCCTTTTCTTTGGTATCCAAATGGGGGATGACTTGCTAGCACAATCACACTTGCTATAAACAGATGCATAGAAATGAAGAATAAAGCATATGGTACAGATTTGAACAAAAAAAAAACAAAGAATCAGAAAAAGTGAAACAAAATTAGAACTGAGAAACACAGCTGAAAGGAAAATGGAAACAGTGGAAACCCATCCATAACTTCACGTTCTATGTATTTCACTAAGGGGTATATTAATATAGAACCCATTTTTGGGAGTGAGGTTCAAAAGACATCAATACTATAAGGGTGACTGAACACTCAATGAAGAAAAGACAGTTGTGATCTACACTGAAATTTGGCAACACTACATTTTGCTATCTGGAACACACTACGTTTGCTATTTTCCTTGAAAACCCTTTAATTTACCAAAAATAACTACTGTAGTCCATTAAAACATTCTTAAAAAACAATTCTGGCAAAAACATTTCAAGACTTCAAGACAAAGTACGAACTCTACAAAGCCTTCTGTGTTGCATGTAAAGATAACAATATGGAAATACAATATTCTTAACAGTTAGCCCCGTCCCGTTTTCAGAAATGCTGCTATAATCATGTTTAGGTTTGACCAGGACTTACAGCTATCACAACCAGAACTCAGTGAACACATAACTGAAGACTAGAGCACAACATCAAGGAAGAGCTGAACAAGCCCTGCATGTTTGCAACACATATTATAATATCAGATATACCATGTCAGCTACTGTACATGCACATATTCAGTGATGGAACTTACTCAGATGCTGACTGGGAGGGTTTCATGGAAGGAGTGCTTGTCTGTTTTGTGGTGTGAGGAAGCTTGGGGGAGGAAGGCAGGGAAGAGTCTGTGAGTTCTTCTATATCAGAATGTGGAGATGGTGGCTTGGCTGACTTCTTCTTACTGAATGCCTGCTTGAAGGAGCTTCTTAGCTGTAAGAGAAATATCAATTGCAGTTAGTTCTTGAGATACACATGACCAGAAATACAGTCCCTTAAGGGTTAGTCAGTTCATTACCATTATCTGAAATTCAGCCTCGGGTCAGTAAAAGGGAAGCAAAGCATCTCATAAGGAGACTTGGGAGCAGATTCAATCTAGGCCAGTGTAATCCCACCGGTAAAGTAATTCTAGCGAAGCAAAACTGCAAAGGGCAAAACAAAGAGGTTTTGAAGAAAATTAATAAAGATTTGAAAACACATTCAGCTTTTATTTTTTTTTGTGTTTAAAACAACTACAAACATCCTTGTTTTGGTTTACAAAAACAGATCTGCATTGCACTGGATGTACTGTATGAGGATACTACAGTATTGAATCTGCTCAAGGGGGTTCAGTTAAAGCTCAGCATTCCATTATAAAACAACCACAACAACAACAACAACAACAACAACAACAACAACAACCAAAAAACAGTTTGGAAGAAATATAAAGACTGATGCACTATTTTATATTCATGCGTGAAAATTTTAAGTCTTTTAGAAAGTTTGATGTTACTTTGAATGGAAGCTACTTTTCGAACACACATTTGAAAAAAGAATAAAACAAAATACTCAGCTTCTTATAAAACTAATTTTTTAAAAGCTTGTTACATACAGGGAGGGGGAATTGCATTCTCTGTTTGGTGGGGCTCACGGAAGAGTGAGATGAAAGTACTTGAAAGTGAATATGACAATTCTTTCACTGAGCAGCTCAAACGTTGCTACATTTTACCCTGACCTCAAATTAACAAAGCTCCCTCAGGATAATTTAGGAATAAATATCTAGAATGCCTTAATCTTTTCCTGCATTCACCATTTCCTTAATGAAAGTATTACACATATCAACATTTTGCTGCTGATTTCATATTCTTCCCTGTCTCTCTACAATTCAATTGCATTTACGTACAGTATGTACTCGATTACATTTTTATTCCACTCGAGGTCATTTTCTGTACAGTATGTCTCATATTTGAATATTACTTAAGAGACTAAAGGTTCCATTATTTTAGGTGCATTGAATGATAAACAAAAACTTTTTTTGGATGATGCCGTACTTAATTTTATATATTTTTTTTACATTGTAAACAAATACATTGAAATGGCATTTCAAGATATTTGCTGTCGCAGCAATAGCTCAGCGTTCAGGTACTTTCAGTCCAGGGCCTCTTTAAATCCAAACTATGAATTAGGTGCCAATCAGTTTTAAATAGAAGGAGGGCCGTTGCCATGCAAACATTTGTCCACTGCTATCAGCGCTGAGGGCACGGGGATCTCCCACAGCAGTCAGACTGACAGGACTTTCAAACACTACTGACCTGGGCAGGAATGGAATCGGCAACCTAGAGGTAAAACACACTCACTATTACAATGCTGTTCTGGTACAGGCTGTCTACAAACAGGAACCCCTGTATACAGTATGTGACAGCCCCAGACCATTACAGCTTTGGATGGCATTTTCATACACTACACTTCACCTTAAAAGTGAATACTTCTAGCGTAAGTATGGGAATCGCGTCGCTCCCTTGGCAACACTCTTCCTCTAAGGAACAAAAATTTACCAACATTTCCGACACACTGGATTCCGTTTCTCATCACTTGGTTTACAGATTCAAATTTACATTGGCAGATGTGTGTACAGCAGGAGGCAATCTGCATCCATTTCTCTCTCATTGTGTTGTCCTTATCTATGGGGGGGACTGGAGAAATGAAGGTTCATTCACAATTGCATGATACTGTCGCTTTGCACTGATAAGCTCTATAAAAGACACCCAGTGCTGTAATTGCTGTAACAGCACTATAATTTCAATGATAATCGCACTGATTTCGGCTTTGCGCATTACATGATGATCATAATGTCCTGTACAGTATAACCTTTGAAAAGTAGATGGCATTCAATACCACCAAAAGCAAGCAATGCCAGTAAAATTTGTCCCAGTGATCCTGAGGAACATTGAAATCTTATACCATGCATGTCAGACTTTTAACAAAGGGTTGTTAGCAGGGTGGCAGTCAAGATAATATGGAATACATAAACATTAAAATTAATAATGATAAATGATAGATTATTTGAAAATTTAAAAATAACCTAATAATACTGTAGTGTTTCTATACTGATAGCCTCCATATACATGTCATTTTGTTGAGAACAACCCAAGAAATTGAAAACTGCTAAACCCAACAAGATGTGTACATTTTAGAACTATTTTAATATTGGCTTTTGATATTTGATTTGATTTTGATATTTTAATATTGGCTCACGATATACCTTCAGACACAGATGTCTATTACAACACTTTCTCCATTCAACACCTGCTTTCACTAATTGTGTTCTGGCTATAGTGGCTTAAGTCAAATTCTGCAGCCCGGTAACCTGCTATCATTTAATTTATGTGGATTTTTCTTAGATTTGTAGTTCTGATTTAAATTTGTCCCGGTAGGTATTAATGGACCAATTCGTATATTTCAATAAGAAGTATAATTTGCTCTTTAGTTTGTTATGGGTTTATTCAATATTTCAACCCCCCAGGCTGGTTTCTTCGAGATAAGAAAACACCATGTTAGACTATTGTAAATCAGAAATCACAGCTGAACAGAAGTATTTGGGATTTGTAAATATGTGGCAGGATTGGATAGGTTATTTTTTGTAATTAATACCTGTATACTGATGCAGTAAAAAATCTAACAACATACTGTAACATTATCTATATGCCCAAAGAGCTATTGAAGTAAAAGGTAAATTATAGTGTTTTCACTGTGCATCACTATCTAAAAGTTATGAGGCCAAAACACCACAACAGCTTAACCCTCAACAGTCCTGTGAATAAATAAAATAAATAATATGCATATAGTACAAAACATAGTCATTATAGACATGTCTAATTTCCTTGAAAAACACTGAATATCTATAAGAAATATGAGTGGGTGTCAATTAAAAAAAAAGTGCTGAATATTGTATTGACTAGCTCTTGACAAATTGGTATTGAATAAACAAGATAAAATCATGGAAAGAATGGATTAGCACACTTGTTTTTCAAAGTCAGGTAATTACAGCTTTCTATAGTGCTTTTTTCAACCAGAAAGGAAAAAAAACCAACAATTTGTAGTGCTTTTTCATTTTTTATGGACAAAAAATAATCTTGAATAAGATGTCCGTTCATCAAGAGAAATACTAAAGGCCAAGTGCAATGAAGCAGTGCTGTACATGCTGTGCTGCCACCTACACAGCTTACTGTGCTTGCTGATCATCTGTTCCCTCTTTCCAAAACACATGCTGAAAGATGGTGCTAACTTTATATTCACCTTGTGTCCTTCAGCCTTGGCCTGCCAGAGTGATATGAAAGATGAAAGAGGGTGGAATTACAAATCGAGGAAATGAAAATTCATGGCCTTTTTGAGGTAAACAATAACGCAAATTAGCCTGCATACAAATACAGCCCTCTGTGTGGTTAACGTATTCAATGCAGAAATCTTAGCCGCCTTTGGAGTGTCTCCTGTGGTGTCTGCTCTTACCCAGCTCTTCTTCTTTTTCTTCTTGGCTTCCGCGTCATTGGCACTGCCAATGCTAGAGTGACTAGTCGCACTATTGATGCTGGACACACTGTCTGAAGAGTGCTGCCTCCTTATTCGCAGGTCTGAAAATTCAATAAGAATTCATTGAGAATTCTCAATTAATTTCTGTACAGTATGTACCTATTTAGCTTTTTTTTCCCCCATCCTCTCTCCCATCTCTCATACAGATAAAAGAAAATACACAAACTTTCACAACATGACAAATGTCTCTCTTTTTGTGAACAAAACAGTTACATACACACTGCATACTGATGTGGCTCTGCTACTGATTCTTTTATTTATCATCATTTCTGAGTCAGAAAGGATACCACAGATGCTAATATCACAAATATTGGTAAACTGGTATTTTATTGATATTCTTGAATAGCCACTTTGGTCAAATTAATACCTGCATTGGTGAAAACATAATTATAAACTTAAGTCGTAATGATCTCAAAAGCAATTATAAACTTAAGTCATAATGATCTCAAAAGCACAACATAATCTTGTGCAACCTAAGCTGTATTTAGGGCTTCAGATAGAAGCCATTTATATCCAGCATTTTTGTCTGTATAAGACAATGTTTCCTTCATGAGAGTAAAAAGGGATTAGACAGCCAAGATCACATGAGGGGGGGGGGAGAAAGGTGCATAAAGTCCGCAAGGGGAAGATTTTGTGGAACGTTGAGAAAAAGAAAGCAGTATCTCTCAATGCAATGATTTATCATTAACACTTGCATTTGCCTAACATGGACAGTATATAAAAGAGGACAGATTCAAAAAACACCCAAAGAACTGCTAGAATTCTTGATTTCTACCAGCATTGGCTGTCACGTGTATTCGATGAAGGCCGGTCATAAAAAGTCTCTACTTGTCATTCCACATTAGTATAGAATTCAAAATATTTAAAGAACCACATCTCTTATACAATGCCTTCCTTGTTCTTAAAAAGGCGGGGGTGTTTTATGAAACAATACTGTGTGGGCTGAATGGCAATGAATATCCGCCCACCCATGCAGCTTCAGCAGGTATATGCAGTATGTATTTCCATGAGTACCTTTATGTAAGTGGTCAGGGCCGTTCAGTGCAACCTGGATGGCAGCCTGTGCATCAGTGTTCTGTGTTTTCAGTGCTTCAATAGTTTCTCTCAGCTCTGCCAGTTCAGATTCCTAAGAGATTAAAATAAAAAACAATTTAAGCCTGCTATACATACTGTAGCTTTTTAAATCCTTACTATCATATAGCTTTTTGGTCTTCTTGGTGTAACTTTGCAGTCATCTCTGAAGTGCTTCTCTTTAGTTTTACACCAACTTGTACGTATTTCATACCTGCAATTTGAAAATTCCTTCTTTTTATTAAGAACTGTCAAATATGTAATCTAGCAGAGTTTGTGAGCAGCTATAATTTGATAAAAACAAAAATACACACTGCATTTGTCCTCAAACCTAAAAAACTAAAAGTAACACATGCACAAAATATGTAAAAGGTGTAGGAAATGTATTTTATAATAAAGTTTTGAGTTATTTTTACAATATTCCTTTTTAGCTACACTGCATAATACATAAAGGTCAACTTACTAGGATAAGTAAGAGTAATGTGATTCCTTTTCCACAAATAATTCTAATTCTAGAGTTTCCTTTAACATTAATGGTTTGTTAACTGATGAGACACATTTAACAAAGATTTCCCTAATAACTTTCTTTCATGAAGTGTGGATTAAAACCATCAAAGATTGTTTATTTTAGCAAGGAATGAAAGTAGAAAGAAAATCACATTTTATCTTAAGCATTACATATACACAGTCTGCTCACTAATCTTGGTGTCAGTACACTGCTCTGTTCTGTTAAAGATTTAGGAGACTAATCCCTTTCTAATTTAAGTATTTCTGTTTCCGTTAAGTTGGAAGAACAATTATTTCATTTATAGCTTGTGGTGGTACGGTAATTCAGAACAAAGGCTTATTTAAAAATTGGCGAACATTTTTTCCTTTACAGTGACACATGTATTCATTGTTGAAATTAGTAAAACTTGAAAAGCCTTCAATTAGTAAACATAAAAAAAACATCTACAGAGTGAAGAAAATGTAGCTTCAAGTTGTGAAAACACAATAATAACTACAAAAAAAACAATTCTGCACTGGGTTAATAAGCTTGCAATAAGAAAAAAAAAGACATTCATAGATGATACCATTGTCTATCCACAAATTTGTATTGATAAAAACCAGTGTAAAAGTATGACAAATTAACAAGGAAAAACTTGATCTTATCAAAGTTAATAAGAATTTAATGTTATTTAGAACCTTTTTTGTAAAAAAAATCAGAGACCTTTATAATGATGGTACAGAGCAACTTTAATGTTAACAGTACAGATGTAAAAATAACTTATCACATCTCTTTTGAAAGTCATTGGACCAGATATTTTTCTAATGACTCCACAATTTTCTTGCACAGTCCTGCCCATTCCCAATTTCTAATTTCACATCAGATTCCTAATGTTCAGATCTTGATATTGTTATGAAGTGAATATAGATACAATGGGGAACACTCGGCTTGTGTCAACATTTCCAGCTTCAAAGCAAGGGGATGTAGTGGTTCCAGATTCAGTGATCACATCAATCGTAAAGTTTACCTTCATGAATTAAGTTCTGGGCAAATGATTAAGTGTCAATCAATAAGTATTTGAACCTTATTATGAGAGCTTGCTATTCTGTTGTTATCAGGAACTTTGATTTGCTGTAAAAGAATCCCTTGGTTAAAAACTACCTCTCCTGGTTAGTGGGTTTAGGGAGGGAGATACAGTAGGTTTCCATTTATTTGGTGCAGAGAGATTTAACTGCAGGTTGTATTCTATTTAGTTTAGGCAGGTTATCTCTTCTTTTGGCCTTTGTATGCATTATACTCTATAAGAGCTTGAATACATGGTAGGGGTCTGGGGTTTTTCCTGGGTGGTTAGGATGTGAGGCCTATGAGACACTTAATTTGTAAATCTGTAAATAGCATAACGTCCATGCAGTACTGTATTTTTATGATGTATGTAGGTTAGCGTGTATATTGTTGCTGTTAATAAATATCTGTTTGACTCAGTGTGCTTGAATTATTACTCTTTTCACCAAAGTTTTTTTCCCAGAGAACAAAGAATACATATTCATCTACTGTACCTCCTAATCATTATGATTATTTATTTTACTTATTGATTTATCCACTTGGTCATTTTCTGATTTTCTCCATTTTCATTACCCCTTATTTTTAATGGAATGTAATGTGCATTTCAAAAGCAGCAAGGATTTCTACTTAATATAAAAACCATTACAAATCACTAGAGGTTAGTTGACCTATTGTGTTCATCTTGCTGCTAGGATGGCTTTTCTTTCTGAGAATCTTATCTGCAGCTCTTTGAGTTCTTTAGGCCTTGAGGCAATAATGTTTATATGAATTTCCTGCTTTTATTATATTACAGTTTTCCTAAAAATAGCATGCCGAAAAGGTTTAAAATCCTCATAATCTAAAACCTGTGTCAGATTTGTAACATGGAAATGCACAAAGAAAAGGCAGTGTACTATTTACTGTTTACACTACTGAGTGTGCTGTTCTGTTTCATTTTATCAGATTCATCCAACAAAATTTTAGCATAATCAGGCTAGAATTCACAGTAGCATGTAAAGAAATTTCACACATGCTTAGAATACATTAAATGAGATAATGACTATTTCTTGAGTTGTTTTCCATGTGAAACAAAGAGATACTGTCCAGTTTACGTCATTGGTATGTCAGGAAGGTAGCTCAGATCTAGAGCTACTGCTGTCTGCAAGCCCTTTTCTTTATTCTTTGAAACCCCTCATCCATTTTTATTTTTTTGTTTGTGATCCATCCAAAATGGAGGGGACACATAAAACTTTTCTCCTACTCCTTCCCTATATAACATCCTTATAACAAAGAATAAGCTAAAAGATTTCGACTGACCTCATCTCGCTAAGAAGGCTGCTCTTGGCTACTCAGTCATGCACTGACTGCTCTGCCGGAGTAGTCAATGGAATATCAGGTAAAGTCTGTAAAAAGTTAGACTGTTGTGCAGTAAGCACTGAAGAACTTTTAATGATTCCAAATTTGAAGTTTCGGTTTCTGTACATACATACGATATGCTACAGTTTGGGGTCTTAACTTAGTTGTGGTATTCCAATAACATCTTGTTATCTTCAGGAATAACAATAACAATAACAGATAACAAAATAACATCTTTTCTGCTGTAAATGGGGTTCAGTTTCTAAGACGAATTTGAAAAAAACATATGGCACAGGACAGGAGCAGACCCTAAGATCCTTACAACTTAAGGAAAAATCTTATTGAATGATTCGCCTCAATTTTCTTAACAGAACCTGCATGACACCTGCTAGATGCAATTATTGGAATCTGGTACTCAGTCACTCATGTAAGCATTTTCCAGGGGGTGTTTAACATTTTTGGGGATACCCAAATTTAGTTATGTTTTGGAAACAGGTTATTTTTTTTATCACTGCTCTAAATAGGGATGATCCTTGGTCTCCCTGAGTATATTTAGTAAATGATAGCTTAAGTCTTTTTGCTCTTGCAAATGCAGAACCAGATTTGGTTGGATGGTCTCACCATGTATAAAAACATGTTGCTAATGTCATTGTAACATGCTGTCCTAGCCAAGGTCAAGAAATGTTTCAGGAAATGTAACAAACAAAAGTGACAGTAGTAGTTGGGTTGATTATTCACTTCCTTCTCAGACATGGTCTATCTTAAACTGTTATTGTTGTTCTCCACTGACGTTCTTTGAATTTTGCAGCATTTCGCTGTATGGCAACCTTGCTCACAGACCTAAAACATCCAAACAACAAATTCTTATATTTTTTATGCAGATGAGGCATTGTGTTTTTTCTATTCTTCTTGTCTGAGTTAATCCCACTACTTTGCATGGACTTTTTTAGACATCGACAGTGCACAAAGGAAACTTATGAAGAGAAAAAAACAATTTGCCATTGTATTCTTTATCATGAGAAGCAGACTGCATTTGCAATTTGATCTTAAATTTGACACACGCTTTCACTGTGCGTCAGTATAAAATGGGACCCACCTTTTGCTCAGCTGTCATTGTCAGGCTTTGCAAGCGACACGTCATGTTCCCCAGGCTCTTCTCAAAAGCTGCAACCAGATGAGCCTGGGCCAAAACAAAATTACAGTATTTATTACTCAAAGTCAGACTTCTACTTCACATAAAGTGACATCTTTATGTGAAGAAAGATGTGTTGTGTTGATCTATTGTGTTGCACCTAAGCCACAAGGAGAACTTAAAAATAATGGCATGCTTGATGTTGTCAGAGAAAGTTACATAGGATGTCTCTAGTTACATGAAGCTGGGTACTGGAGAAAAAATAAATAGAGGTATGTATGAAGTCACATTTAAAGTCACAAATTAAATTTATAAACATACAGTATGTGATTTGAAGACAACAGCAGTAAAATCAACTGCAGTTTGCGATTAGAGCTACAGTATTTCATTTGCTCTAAATGACAGATTACTTCTCTCTGATGCATTCAGATGCCTCTTCACTCCTTTTGAGCTCACAATGAAGTTTTATGTTGCATGGCTTTTGGCAAATAAAAGCTGTATTTCACATTCAATCCACAGCTTTCAGCTTCCATTTCATGAAGGAACAGAAATTATAGTCTTGGCAAGAATTCTGAGTTCTGTTGAATTTATGCTTCCAGCTTCAATCATGGCAGTATTTATCTCCTTCTGCGACACTAGGAATAACAACTAATTTTTTAATTGTCACCTTCAGCTTCAACAAAAAATCTTCGTTATCCTAATGGCTGTCAAAATAAGCAAGCAAACCATTATAATGAAACAATACAAGATGCAGATTGCAGTTTAAATAAGCAGTGTTATGGTTTCTGAACTTACTTATACTATAGTTTGGGGATTTGCTTTAGTTGCTAGATTCTGAGAAGACCTTGTCTGTCATCTGTTGTAAATGTGGACTTGGATTCTGAGACCAAAAAAACTATCTGATAGGACAGAGGCAGACTCTTACAGTACATCCTTATAATAATACACAGTATTTGAAGAATGCAGAGCCATCCATAAGGATTGATCAATAGGCCCTTGTCAAAATGATCTAAATTCTAAAACTAATACCAAGAAACACCATATCACACCCCAAATCTGTTATAGATTCCTACAAGAGCTAAGTGTTGTGAGTACTGTGTAAAACTGTATTGCTAATTATGAATCATATTTGCTTCTGCACAAGCACTGTACTTTCTGTGATTTTTTATATCTATTTTTTCAGTATAACCTTTCGATAAGATTGAGATCATTTCTATCTTTAAGACTGCATTTTAAAACAGAAGCCTGACTATTAGTTTATGTTGCTTTAAAATGCTAACTCATGGTGAGCAGAATTGGAATATAGGTCAAACTATTTTTATTTTGTTTTTGCATTGATGTCAGATAAAAAGAATCTACACTTATATGAAATAGTACTTGTGCTTGTAAACTGATCCTAGACATCTGGAAAATATATGTAGGAATGTGAGATAATGCATTAAATTAACTTGGAAAATATTTAAATATTTATGAAAATGGCACTGAACCAATTGTGCATTAAGGTACATATGTACATTTGCTACATAAATGGTGGTTTGAAAAGCAATATAGTTGAAAATTGGATTTGCTCAGTTAACAGTCATTTGGATAAATGTATGAACAGTGTTTCAAAAACTATTTTAAGTTACATGTTCAAACTTTACTTCATCTTAAGAAAAGAGAAAGGCATTACAACCCAAACTAAGTGCAAACTAGATGCAGATTGTGGATATATTTTAGTATTATGACCGACAAACCCCCAGAGTAACAGTTTAAATAAAGAACAGTCATTTTCAAAGCAAACGAATAAAGTCTGAGATGAGTAGCAATATCCAAGCAATAAAATGTCAGTCATTGAAAGGACTTTAAAAGTTTTAAAAGAGACTTAAAATGTAATCCAATGCATATTGTCTATGTCAAAATTATTTTTAATTTTTTGCTTAAAACTTCTGTTAAGATGCAATTATGATTTAAGAGCCTTCTTGTGCTGAAAATTATTATTAATTTTCAATTACAATTTAAACATTGTTGCTCAATGTTTAATAGTTTTAAAGTGTTGAAGTAACCTCTAACCAGTTTATTAAAAACACAAACAAGACTTTCAAAATCATACTTTGTGATGCAGCCTTATACACAAAATCTCAAACTGCTGAGTGCTTGCAACTACAGCAGCTGGGTCCATTCAGAACTGCATAACAAATGTAATGAGATCTTTCACAGTATCAACCCAAAAAGCAACTTTTAGCAAATAAAAATATGTTGGATGTTTATTTAACAAACAGTTGACCCACTACACCTGACCTTTCCTGATGCCAAACTCATGAACATTCACATAAAACCATTATTATTAAGTAACTGCACCCGCTGGTACAAGCAAACACATTTTAAATATCAGACAGTAAACCTGCACTATTACTACAAAAACTCCTATTCATTATGTCACAGCTAAGCCACATAATCTTCAATTTTACTAACGTAGCTCAACTGCTTCCCTCATACTACAGCAATAACGTGCTCCACAGCAAAGGTTCCCCCACCTGCTGTGTCTGAAGGAAAGGCTGGGCAGCAGCCCACAGGTCTGGGGGACGAGCTGCTGACACGTGCCTGTAACTCCTGCTGTGTCTCAGCCTCTCACTTCTGTCATCCCGCCTCTTAGTAACTGGATAGTGATTAAGAACCGGCCACACCATGGAATTTGCCAACGAGTTGCCTTTGCCTTCCAATGACATTCTGGCTCTTCGCATGCATAGAAGTCCACACACCGAGACTTATCTGTTTACTAACTAGAGAGCGGGAGACAGAGTGAAGGGAAGGCAGGGCAGATCAGAGAGAGGGAGGGGCAGTCGTGTAAGTTCTGATGTGAGCACCTCTGTAATAACAGATGGAATGTAAGCCTGCATCAGGCAAAATACAATCTCATTTCTGCTGGCAGCTTTTTTTTTTTCCTGCTAGGCCATTTCTTTGCACAAATTGAAAAACACAAAAGGTAAGTAAAAGGAAATCCTGGACATTGCACAACTAGAAGTATACACCTCTGTGAATGGCCTTTGTACTGATAGGTTTATTTGAACAAAAATGCTTTGGCCTCAATTCAAATGTAGCTTAAAGGCTGTCAACTGCTTCTTGTTCTTGTCCTGAAACGGGAGTTCAGTAACTAACACTGGAAGCTGATATAACCAAGGACACCTTAAACTAAAGGTGTTATTCAGATATCACCTTTTCTGGTGTTTTAAAAGACCAGGCAAAAGAAAAACCTCAAGGTTATAAAACACTGACAAAAGATCCTGAATTAGTTTACTAAGGTTCATTATTGACGTTGAAATAGCCTTATAGCATTTGAACATTGAAGTGTATTTCAAAATAATTTAATTTTACAATTAGAAAATCATCTGCTCCTTTTACCTCTAAATGTTTAAGACAAAGTCTGTATTCTCTCAATTCCTTTCTTTTTCCTTTAAGGTGAACTTGCAGTGATAAAAAACATTACATACCTTTCAGCATAAACATTTTAAATTCTGTTTTCCCATTACATTGATCAATACATATTAGCTTTATTATTTTAAGCAATGAATGTACCGGTACCAGTATTGAGATTGGTAGATGAAATGGAGTAGGAAAATTAGTCTTTATACACTTACAGTAAATGTTTTGATTAGCAGCATTAATAAGCAGTGTTAATTATCTGTTCCTGATGTACAGTAGATAATTATAAACTGTTCTAACCTACTGAAACCTGAAAACATTAGAAAACTGGCTGAAGGGAAACCTATTAGAAAGGTAAAAACAAAATAAGCAACAGCAGCTCAATTGACTGCAAATTTAAGCAAACACAGACCACCTTGAACACACGTAGTGGGATTCCTTTGTCAGGTTGCAGTGAAAAAAAACTGCTCATTACACCTGGCAATGTACTGTATGTGTACAACTCCAATGGTGCGAAGAACATACTGTAGGCAATACAAAGGACTACCAAGCATTGGAGAAATGTGATATGGTCAAATGAATCAAGGAATACACTTCTGACCAACTTAAAGAACTCTACAGCCTTGGGTGCTTGGTTTCAACAGCAGTTGTGTTATGTTGTGAAAAATTTCAGCAAAAAGAAATTCTATTGTCCAAATCCCTTATTTTGTATTGAGTAATAATCTTCAACACATTTTACAGGACTTCTTTCCTGCCAGGAGGTATCTTTCCGGTTGGTAGTGCATGACACTGAAGATATCCATACTGTATGTCCGATGAATATTTCATAAACCCAATAGAGATTTTAAGGGATATTTTTCGAATGTTGCCTGAGACAGCATTTTCTACTGTACCTCCATCAATGAGGCGTGAGTTTACTTTTATTGCCATTTCCCAACCGAAGAATTCCAGATGCTGGAATTCACTCATACAGGCTGTACTGGTCTCATGTAGTAGTAGTGTAGTGCCCTGTTAAATGACTGTACATTGGTTCAATGGTTCTGGTTAGAACAATGATTTACATTGTTCTTACCAGAATTCAGAACACAAGCATAACGATAAATTCCATATTACTATGCTTGTTATTTTAAATAAAAGATTTATTGTTAGAATATGCAGCATTTCAAGTACATTATTATATTGAGAATCATAAACTGCTGTTGGCACTTCTTTTTTACTGGAAATGAAAAGTGCTACTTCACAAGTAAAAAAAAAATGAAAATCAATGTTACTTTCATGACCAACTCGAGTAAGAAAATATGACAATACCCAAAGTTTAAAAGGTACAACAACAAAATTTGTTTGACTATCATAATTATGCAGTGCTTACTGTAACATGTTTGAGTTTGAAGTACAAGGACCTGTAATGCATCTATAGAAAATAATAGAGCTCACATCCCATTTGTGCATTCCATATTATCCCCTGAGACTGAAGAGCAACAAAAAAGGCAAGAACACCAACATGGTGAGGAACCGCAAGGCAGTGAGAGTTTGCATTTCCCAATGCAATAAGTACACACATGAAAGCAATACAGATTCATGTGTTTTATTTCTGTTGCACTGACTAATGCATAAAGTGGTCAGACTTATCAGACCCACTTATCAGAAGCACTTCGGATATGCATCACCTGTGGATGCAGCAGACAGGCGAATTATGCTCAATATCTCCAATCATAGGAGACTTAACCTGTGTTGACATTTCCTGTTATACACGGCTCAATAAAAGACCAAGGGTACATGGCTCCTGGAATATTCCCAGCAGGAAAACTGCACCACAAAATCAGCAGGGGCTTCAAGGGATCCGCTGTTCACTGAACTCCACTTTTACTCCCAGAAGAGGGGATGCACAGGTCGGTTTTTTCTCCCCCGCACCCGTCCGCGGCGGTGAGAAATGAACCCACACCCACCTCACCTGATCTAAAATCTTTTTTTTTTAACTCGAGTCCGCCCGACCCACCCGCGCAACGCTAGGATGCACCTTTTGACCCATGCCTTCTGATTCAAGTGTAACAATCCAGCAACAACATAATTAATTCTGAGAGAGTAGCTGAGGAGTCGCTTTTACACACAATGTCTTACGATATACAGCACCTGGACATCATCAAAGACCTGCACACATACAGAAGGTCCCAGCTTACTCTACAGTATATGCTGCACGTCTACAGTGGCCATATCATGACTCAGTATTATTCAAGGTCCAGCATGATTGCAGCTTGCGCATTAGTTGGATGAGATTAGAGTGGATATTCACACTTTGTGCTGTGGGACAACAGTATGAGTAGGACACTTTCAGGCTGTTTTCATTTAATCTTTGCTGGTATCAGAGCATGAAAGAGTAGCAGGAATTGAAGTTGACTGGCAGTTGGCATTTCACTGTTAAAAATTCAAACACCCTATCATGCAATTAAAATAAGGTTGTATTTAAGGCATAAAACTTATAACAGTGTCATGTCTACTTTTTTAGTCAAAGAAATAGGCATGCAGTATGTTATACATTTGTAAGTTTCTTCTGAAAAGTGTTATCTAGCCATACAGCACCATTGTACTTCAAGAGAAAGTAACTTTCTGCAAAAAATAATTACTATTTTAATCTACAAACAAAATCACAGGGACAGTTCTTAAAAAGGAATGTGAGCTCATCTTCACTTCGCCTAACTCTACAGCTCTGCATTTCCTTGACAGATACATTCTTAACTGTGGAACATGGTGATTAAAGAGATCACTACGATAAAGAATGTCTTAGTTTCTCCTTTTGATCACCCTCCTCACAGGCAGACAACTGATGAAATGTGCTTCAAAATTCAGAAGGGAAGGAGCCATTTGGGTCTTCCAAACTTGGCTTCAAATTCCTTCAAAACTCTTGATTGTTGGAGAGGTTTGTGTGACTAATTCCTGTCTCACAGTAGCATGTCTTTATCCGTCTAAGTTAACATTTCAGCCCACCTGTGTGCAAAATTTGTCACAGATGACAAAGGCAGAACATCTTCGGCATTCTTAACATTTGTACAATTAGCCAATTCGATCTGTAAATCAGGTGTGCAGGCACTACATTAAAGGACACACATTAATTGGTTAGGACATTCAAAATCCTGTTTTCATTTTAAATACAATAGATTTGTAGAGAAATATCAATTGCACATAATAATATAAAAACAGCCCTAAACTATAACACGCAGTCATATACAAGAGGTTGAATACTTAAGTTTATATACTATACACTTTTTCTGTATATTAGCAGTTTTTTAGAAAGCATAATTTCTATTACAAATATGAATAGTAGATCCAATCAGTCACTTTACTTACGTTGGCAGACAGCTGTGACGTCAAAGTAGCAACCTTTTCCTGGGAGGCATCAAGTTCTCTTCGCAGTTTTCTAATTTGCTGTGGGCACAAAGAGAAAATTGTATGTCTCTGGCTTAGCCTTTTTATACACAACAAAGTAAAATGTACAGTACTTTCTTAGAAGAAATTATTTTAAAAATCCAGAGGAAACTTTTACAGTTAACAATGCTGTATATATCTGAGTCCTTCGCTTTCCATTCTAGAAACTTTTAACAGAGTACAGGATGTGTGCCACAGGTTCAGCACTCAATATAAATAAAAATATAATTAAATTACAGAATTAAAGACAGTGACAAAGCTTAAATGTAAATAGTAGATTACCGTAACATTTTGGATGGTTTGGACCTTAACAAAAAAAAAGAATAAAATTAACTCTATGTTGCATGCTACAGTTCCAAACAGCAAAAACTGTAAAAATTAGTCAAGGCAAGCAAAGAAATAATTCTGTTTTCATTACATAACTTCATCATTTGTCAAGATGGTTAAAAAATTGCACGCAATAATATAATAATACCAACTAAACAAATACCAGCTTTCCCCTTTACTTTCTTTCACACTGTATGTTTACAAGTATTTTTACATAAAGAAATTCCAAATAATGAAAGATTACACCTCTATATATAGTGGAAAGGGTGTGTCCAGTTCAAGTATAATTTCAAATTGAAAACTAATCATATTATAGCAAAAATGGTTAAAATGCTGTTTGGAAATAAACAACATAATCAAAGTGATTAATTTATGATTCAGTGTTAAAAGCAATGCAACATAGGGTTAAACAGTTTTGCTAGGTGAATTTTTCAGTTGTAAACTATAATTTAGCAAGCAGCAGCTGTACGCTGCTCATCAAAAAGAAACTTGATCTAGTGTAATCCAGCTGTGATTTTGATCAATGATTTTAAAAGTTGTGTTGTTTAAAGTGGTCATTGATATTTGTGGAATTAAAATCCACAGGCTTTATAATCTCTTGCAATTTAGAGACAAAATATTTTATTTTTAAGAAATAAAAAAGTGTAATGTTTCAGTAAATCTGGAATTCAAAATGGAAAGAAGTTTTGCAATGTAATTTTAGACTGAACTGCATTGTAACTGTATCCCTAACACCATTACAAATTCTCCACTTTGTACATCATAGAGGGTTCCAGGTAGGTAAAAGCATGCTGTATGCCTATCATAGAGGTATAACGTCACCACAAAGTACTGGACATGGCATTTGCTGTGGGCTAGTGGGTTGTTGAAATTTTAACAGGTCTTAGTTTTAATAAACATTCAGTTTTTTAAAATTAAATTTTAATAAACTCGTGTGCCGGAAGACTGATTTGTTCCTAAGTTAAGCTGTTATATATACAGTACTGTACTGTATGTGTATATATTTTCTTACCTCTGAATGAGCCTTTTCTTCAGCCTGAAATGAAGGGAAATAAGTAACGTGAATTAATATTTGTTACAATTCAACTCAAGTAAGTACAAGTGTAAAGAAAAGAAACCATTTGTAAGGCAAAAACAGGTGTGTATAACAAAACCAAGCAACAAATCCTGTCACCCCAAAAAGTCATCCACACATTATCAGAAAGGCACTTATTTCTGTTCAGAGCCATGGCAACCCAGAGCCAACAATGAAAGCATGGAGTGCATACTGCACCCTGGATGAGTTTAGAGCAGGACACACACACACTGACAAGGACAACTTAGAGATGCCAATTAGTCTACCCAGCATGTCTTTGGAAAGAAGAGTAAACTGGAGCACCTGGGAGGCAGAAGGCATCCCAGTATGGAATCTAATAGAATCATGCCATCATCAGCAAACATTAAAACCTCAATTTTCACGGGTTCTAATATTTGCAGTTTCGCCTATTCATGCAAAATGTTTAGTGACCACTATTGCTGCATTCACGGACCAAACTCGCCTATTTGTGGACTGCACAATATGAGCACAAATGCAGGCACCCACTTGCATTTCTTCATCTTTAGCAACTGCTGACTACAGAAAAGCTTTTTTTCACCATATCCTAACTGTATTTTCTTCATAAGGTATTAAGTCCCACATTTGCAAAATCTCCATTTGCAAATACTTCAAGGTATCAAACTCTTGAGAATACTGAGATTTTAGTGTACTTAGTTGTGGAAAGAGGAATCCAAGAATTGATCTACAGTACATGATAAAAAAACAACTTAGGGTAGCAGACAGTGACCACTGCTACAAACAAAGCTGAATGACCTCGAAGTAATAATTTAATTTTATATGGATGTTGCCACTCCTATAAATCCGACATTGTAATTCTAGTGAAAACATGGTTTGTATTGTTTTTATTATATATACTACATCATGTAGAAGGCACTCAGCACTGCTCAAATTAATTAATACCTTCAAGTATCTTCACTGAATGTTGGTAATTATTAATAATTAATCACATACTTACAGAACTTGTATCCTAAAGAATACCTAAAGCAGTTTTTAAGCGAAGACCTACTGTATCAATTACTGAAGAGCATTGCCCACTGGGTGAGACGTGCAAAATTGTTTCACCAACTTAATTAAGGAGGAAAATAGGTCAGATGTCCAAGCCCAGGGCAGAATTTATTCAGGCTATCAGGGTTAATAGAAAACAATTCCATGGGATCATTAATAACCCAATGATCTTGGTTTAACATCTTAACCAAAGGAGAGCACTTCCCATAGCACAATGTTCTTAGTCACCATACTTAGGCATTGACTTTTGAAAGTTTTGGCAGAGATTGAGTAGTTCTTGCTTCTGGTCCATTAGAAACACTTACAGTAAACTGTGTACTCTCTTTCCTTGAAGATCTCCTATCCCAGCAGAAACAAGTCCAAAGCTTTCTTAACTTCTGAAACCTGACCAGATCAGGCTAAAGGATGGTAACACTACTGTTGCACTGGTCTTAGTGTTTATGTTAACATGTCTTTTGTTAGAAATGCAAATTTATAATCTACATAAATATAGATTGCACACTACTTGTACGGTACTGTATGTCAAGTATACCACCCATCCACCTAGCTTCATACAAATCACAATTGCAGAGGAGCCTATCCTGGTAAGCACTGTACATATCCCTCAAAAAGAAAATTATCAATTTTGTTTTCCTAAAACATAAGGCCTTATTTCAAAACTATAATTTATCTCACTATTCTTTCTCACACTACTGAAAATGTTGCACGTTTTCCTTAAATTTTCAGCTTTTCCACTTACTGTACTACAAATGAGCAGTTTCACTCACTCTTATACTCTATTCTATGTGGTTTGACCAGCAGTGAAAATTAAACTGTGTGGATGAATACTGCAATTTCACCTGAGTCCAGAGAGTGGGAAGTAATTCATACAATTTCACATCTATAAGACTTGTATTTATGATCCTAGCATTTATAAAAATCAAAGTAGCCTAAAACATGATTAAATCTATGCAGCATATAAGAAAATAAGCAGCCTGAATTACTTTTAATAGCTCAACAAATTAAACCAACATGATTTGTCTATGATAATAGGGGTCCTTCAGTAGAAACCTTGAGGGAGGTGTGGGTGACATGGTAGGGTGACATGGGATGGGTGTTTTATGGGTGAAGAAAATATTTTATTTTTTAACATTTAAAGATAAATGTTCTGGTAGACAGGGGTTTTTAGTTTTCAACAAATATGAAAGTCTTTAACTTCTTAAACACTTGATTCATTAAAAACAAAGATCCATTGATCACAAGCCTAATGAATTCAGCTGCTCAACTTTAAAGTATGGATCTTTTAAAATTAAAACTTTGATTCTGAACAGATTACTTGTATTGTCAAAAAGAGCAAATCTCCCTGGCTGTTCATTTACATAATATTACAATATTAAATATGATTTAATTTGAAAGTAAGACAAACAGATAATGAATACAATTGGTAATCATAACAAATTCATTACTTTTAATTTGTTGTACATTTAAGTGATTACGAACGAGTGATTTCACCGCCACTAGAAGTAGACTTTACCTTCATTCTCAGGTTAAGTGACCCATAGAATGAGAATATAATATACAGTATTATCCTTCCAGTAGAAACTTTGTGCACATTTATTATAACAGGCTTAGAATTCTCTTGCACAGGAATATATAAGTGAAACATGAATGAACCACATTAGCCACATCCTTCTACTACAGAATTGCTTATAATTGAAGCTCAATTACAGTGTCAAACAGGTAAGAGCTGCAACTGAACAATCAATAACCATGAAATTGATACAAGGCTCAGGGAACATGGAAGGGATTTTGAACAAAATCTTAATACTACTGTATGTTAATACCAATGTACTGTAAAAGTGAAGACCTTTGCAAGTGACAGATGGGACCTTGGTGTAGAGAGAGTCAGAGTTGTTTCAATGTTTGCCACTCAGTGAAGCGCTGGCAGGAGGTAAACTGTCCCTAGCTCATGTTCTCTTGCTAGTGAGACTAAATGACTACACCCGTGTGAGCCTCTGTGCTGTGTATCACTAAGGCCTTTAAGACTGTTTACACAAACCTCTTTTAAAGAAGCCAAAACTGAAATACCGATGTTCAAGACTTGTTAAAGACAGGTTACATAGCATGTAAACAATTAGCACAGGAAATTGTGAAATAATAATTGTGAATAATCCCTTATCATTTTTCAAGAATCTGTAAAAATATAGTGTTAAGACTTCTACATTATGGGTAAACTGTAATTGATAATGGTAGAAATAGCCCTTTGATAATCACTCTATGTTATATTTGAATGTGGAATATTGTTCAGAAAGGAAAACACTTTTAATTTGTTATTTAAGTTTAAGTTTTTTTTAATTGACGAAAACACATTAAAACAATTCACAAGACACTGACATACTATGCTGTGATGTACAGTATATTAAACTGATAGTTGTTTGCTAGAATGTGCCCCTTTCCTCTAAAAATGTATTTCCTTGAAGAGCAGCACAGAGTGATACTCACTGCGGAGTACAGAGAAGATGTACTGGAAACCAGTGATAGTGAGGACCCATGGACTGCAAAAAATAAGAAATTTGATCAGACCATTTGCTCTAGAATTTTTAAACAAAATATCAAAGGAAATTTCACATCACTTGTATTGTCCTACAATTCTAAACATGAGAAAAGTTCCCAACAGTCTCCACTACTACTCTGTACTCAAGTACTTATATCTATATATGTCTATAGAAGATACTGCATCTGTAACATATATAAATGTCATCCTGAATAAGAGTTACAGACGGATAAGTGTTGTGGCTACAGATATAAGATAACGACATTTATTGGCCATATACAATTTCTTGCATAAGGAATTTGTCTTTTTGCATTCCCCAGCTTGCTCTCCATGAGACACACAGACATGGAGAGAAGCTTGGGGTCAGAGTGCAGGGTCAGACATTTATATGGCACCCCTGGAGCAGTTGGAGTTAAGGGCCTTGCTCAGGGGCCCAACGGAGGAGGATTCCTCTGCTGGCCATGGGATACAAACCAGAAACCATCTAGCCACAGGCTCAGATCCTTAGCCACAGAGCCACCGCCCCGCCCCCATATATACATACAGTATATGTTTATGCCCTCACAAAAGGGGCATTCCCAAATACTCAGTACTTTTGCCAGGCACTGTGTGTATATCTATGAATTTAAAGAAGAACTATAATTGAGGTTTTCCTGTGTCTTTTATAAGTTACAAGCACTATCCATGGCCTTGAATGTACGTGATGTTCATCCATCCATCCCTCCATTATTTTTACACTTTATATTAAAATGTACATTAAAATGAAATGAAAAATAATTTCTCTGTGACTGCCACCAAATGAATCTTAAAAATGCCATAATTATTTTCAGGTTTTAGTTCCACATAAGATATGTCTTTGCCATGAGACTCTTTGCCATGTCATGAAGATGACAATCTTATCCCTACTTGGTCACCAACTACTTGGTAGTGGAGTTAACTACATTTATACATGATACTACAATTCATTTCACTACATTTATAAATGATAAAGAACACCGACATGCTCCAGTCCACCTGCTTACCTTCTTCCGTACTGTCCCTGAAGGACTCAGAGCGGCTCATGCCACGAGGCCGCTCCTCAAGAGAGGTGGCACTGCCACACAGGATATGGGACTCTCCGTAAAGGTCAAAGGCCGAGTCCTGAGCAGGAATACTGTTCGAGCGGCTCATACTTGGTCCGGGGAGGTTGAACTGTGACAGGTTTGTGGGGCTCACTAAATGACAGAATAGAAATCATTAAAAACTTTTAAAAATGCCCAGGATACAAATGAGACACAACATGTAAGTTGAAACGTGAAGAATGGTGAGGTGAAACTAAATGTAGAGCATTATATGAACTAATGGTGTCAATACTGTACTGTAACTGTTCAAGATGTGAAGCATTCAACACAGAAGGAGGAATAGTTACATTGAGACTTAAAAGGTGATCTTAATGCAGTGAATGTAAAGATGATGAAGAGACCCACCCAGGTTGGAGTAGTGGTATTTGCAAGCTGCTGAGCTGGAGGTCCCAGAAGGGGAGGCAAGTGGGGACTGACTGCCGGTGTCCTGCAGCCCTCCTGTGGAGTGAGAACGGAGCCACTCCTTCCCCTCCTCCTGAGAGGTCTGCCGAGAAGATGGCGGATACCTACAGAAGGTAGGCAACACTGTAATCAAGGCTCTCTTCCACTCACACATACTGTACGTATGCAAGTGGGTGGACACACACAGTACACACAAACCCTCTCTCACACAAATATGGAGACTGCTCTCTATTTAATGGCTGATAGCTGGGGGCACCCTTATCACTTCAGTTAAGCCCTTTCGAGAATGTATTCATGCTTAATCCTGTAAGTGCATAAGCAAGATATTTCTATTTCTGCAGCCTTGTGTGCCTCCTTTCAAGATAATGGAACACAAGGCTGTCAGTTTTAATATTTTTATCTTCTTTTTTTTCTGAAAGAAAAACTTGTTTATATTTCCCTTGTGTCAACAGTGAATACTTGATCTTGCACTTCTCCAGAAAGAAAGCCTCATTCAGACTCTTAACATTTCTCACATGAAATACTTGGTGTGTCGGTGAAAGATTGCATTGTCAGAAAGGCTTCATCCCGTATACTTTGGAGCTCAAGGGAAAAATGTTCTGGCAAATTTCTAAATTATTATTATATAATAAAATCATTTATTACCAGGGTTGTTTTTACTTTTTATTCATTATTTGTTAATTAAGGTTAATTGTTAAATTTAGTTTAATTGTTAGATTTATTGTAGAATATGCTGTTTTATGAATGAAATGATATATGGTTAATACTTACACAGAAAAGAACAAACTATAGGAAAGATTAAACATAATTCTGGGTATTCTTCTGCTTATTGGAATCAAATCTAAGTAAATTCTGTGGTACTGTTTTTTTCTGATTTCAACCGTGTTGTTGGACTTTTGTTGTACCAGTACTTCTTTGTACTAGCAGAAAAAACAAAAGCTTTGAACTACATCTATTCAAGGAATTACCTTCTGTAAAAGTGAAGGATAACAATTTTAATCAGTTGGTGACCAATCATTTCTTTAAATGGAAACATCTGCCTCACTAAATAAATACAAGTACACACAAACGCTGTACTTAAAACACACCAGAAAACCAATGGCAATCTTTTGTCATTTTAAACAATTTTCAGCATGAAAAATGTTCAAGAATATAAAGGAACATCGTTGTTCCACAGACATGCTATAATTTATTTCTTCAATTTGATCCATCAGGAACAGCTCCAGCCAGAATAACATAATGAATGAGACAGCAATCAGGAAAACATAATCAGGAACACATTCTGGTCTGAACGAACTGTTGCTTCTTAATGAGGCTAGACATCATGTCAATTGATCTCAAGGAAGTAAGCCTGGTACTGTATAAGTATTGCTTTTTGTCACTAATTTCTGGCACTATAAAAGCAATCTAAACACTTTGATTCAGCACTTACAGTCTGCCTCTTTTCAAATCTTTGCATCCTGTTGCAAACAATGGTTACAGAAGAAATTATTTGAAGTTCATTGATTGAGGAATCAATGAATCAAGGTGGATATGTTTATATACAGTATGGGGTCTACTATTACCTACTGAGGCAGAAAGCACCTACAGTATGAGCCATTGATATGTTGATAACAAAATACAATTTTATTTCTTTTTAATTTTGGAGGGCAATGAAAATCCATATCAGTCTGGACATGAGCAGTTCTCCAAATAAACTGTATCAACTCATCCTTCCTCAAGTCTGCATCTCCATGTTATATGTCTATCTGAGAGCTAGGGATTGTCCCAGCAAAATCTTGTGTTCTCTGTTTCTTTCTATAGTCATGGATGAGATAAGCATCTTTTTGCAGGACAAGCAGTGTTAAAGATTTAGTGTGGTGATTGTGTTGATTCTAAAGGTTAAATTCAAAAATAAAGTGGCTACTTTTCCTCAAAACCTAATTTTTTTGTAAGCAACCAAACTTTGTTCACCAAAAGTAAAACAACAATACATGAGCTACTGTACAGTATATGATATCGTAGAAGTACAGATGAATTATATAATATTATAGAAGATGTTATATAGGAAAGGTTAATTGTACCTTAATCCTTTTTTGGGGAGTGTGTTTCTGTCAAGATGCATGCTGTTGAATAAAAGGAAAAGTTATTATAACACAGAGACCTTCAAACATAACTGGTCTTCAGCTAAATCACTCACAGAAATAAGTTTAGTGACATTTACAACCTTCTTTGCTACATAAAATATAATGTAAAAAGACCCCGAAGAGCATACATTATGGACTCCACATTTCAGAGACTCATAAAAGTAAATTAAATGAAAATCAATCATGTGCTCTTGTAAAAGGTTACAGTTTTCACAATAACATGTTTCAATATTATTCACTCTGCTGTTTTCTAATCACATTACAAACCTAAGTGGTAGTTGTTATAACACTCTAATATTCTCAAACGGCAATCATTGTAATTGTATTGCACAGTTTCCTATATATTTTTACTACTTTTATTACCACAAATTTCTAAAAACATTCTTCTGCCAAGGCCGTTGGGATGAGCACTTGACTTTAAAGAAGATATGCTTTCTTCCCATTGAAGGATTAGTTAGAAAAAACACAATGTGCTTTTTGGATTCTAATTTTGGTAGCACTTTAATTTAGAACAGGGATATCAAACACAATTCCTGGAGGGCTTAGTGTATTCTAGTTTCTGTTTCAACCTGAGTTGTCAAAAAAATGAATTATTTTTTATACTTAGACACATACAGGATGTCACTTAAGATCTTTTACAGAGCATACTGTAACTCAACACACTCACTTCATGAAAAACTACAGTTGCCTAAAAAACTCTTTGGAGACAGAATTAAAATATTACAATTATGGAGTTCATAAAATAATTAGAGTCACTATGTAACTAAGAGCTTGGGAACAAAATAGAAGACATAAGTCCCTCCAGGAATTCAGTTATATATGATATATTATGATATTTAGGGGCAACCATGTCTATTTATACATCCTTTATAATCTGTAACAGAGGAATAGAAAATTGACCAGTAACCTGGTAGGAACTGGGTCATTGCTAATTACAATGACAAAACTATTAAGAATATCATTTTACCCTTTATTTTAAATATAAATAAAGTAACTGAATGCTACTTAGAGACCACATCTTTTAACAGTCTAACAATTGCACGAGTGTTACAAAAACTTGTCTATTTTATGCTGTAATGTGTTGCAAAGGAATAAAGAGCAAAGGCAATACAGAATAAAGTACACATTTTTTTGTTTTTCATGTAAACTTCCACTGGTGTCCCTAAAATGAGCTGTTCAGATACCATTTTAATCAGAATATTAGCATAAAATCTTAGCTACTAGGTACCTGGATATTCTGCACTCTGCCTGGCCAAAGTGGCTCATGTTGCACATGTCGTATTAGCAAGGTTGAGGCACATGTGAATCCAAGGATACCCTGACATCCCTATTTGCAAGTGGCTTAGTGTGTGCTGTCAACTGGGGTAATTGGAGTTGCTGCACCTCTATGGGCTGAGCTGGTAAGGAAATTTTAATGCTCATTTTCCTGAAATGATTGGGAAAACTGACACTATAGCTTGTTCGCCCAACATCAGGACAGTATCTCTATGGAAATAAGTTATTTCTCTAGATTTACCTATGCCTAAAGAAAACTACAGTACTTGTATCCCTGCTCTACTTGATTCTTAGAATTAACAACAGCAACAATGATGATGATCGACAATGACACATCAGGTCATCGCAACATTTTGATGAATTTCTCAAAAAACGGCTGAATTAAAACTTGCACCCCCAACGGTGCTTTTGCTCTATAATCTTGTTGGGGAGGGCAATCTGACCTTTCTGAAAGTGTAGATTTGACACTGCCGGTCCTCATCAGCAGGCTGTGAACCTCTTTAGGCGCAGTGGTGAGGCCGGTCAGAGAGCCGTGGTGACTGACAGGAAGGTCGATGGACTCTGAGCTGGTGTGGAGGCTGGTCAGGGACTGGTAGCTCAGGGTGTCCTTGCTGCCGGCTGAGGAGCTGCTGAGGTTGGTAGGCCACTGCTTGCCTCCAGAGGTCAGGGAGTGGACAGAGGCTGGGCTTGAAGCCAAAGACTGGCTGAGGCTGATGACATCGGTGGCAAGATCGGGACCCTTGCTGTAGAGGGGGCTGCTCCCCCCGCTCTGACCCCCGGTGCTGCCCATGCTGCCTGTGCCCGACGATGGAGATTCCAGGCTGCCCTGCCGTGCCAGCGTGGCGTGAGGGCTGCCGATTGCTGTGGAGTTCTTCACGGATTCTGGGTTGGCTGGAGAGCTCGGTTTTCCGCTTGCTTTGTTGCCGAACAATCTGACGGATAGGCCAGGGAAAACAAAATGAGTCATTCTAAAATATACGGTATATATTAGCAATCATTTCCAGAATGTTCTTCACACTGCCTAAATCAAAAAAGCTCTCCATATTTCATTTCTGTTCGCAAGATGCTATCTTATACAGTATCTTAATCAGAATTTGAATTTCTTAAACGAAGCCATATCCAGCTTCAGAATGGCTTCAGAATACAGTGATAAATGTTTGAGTTGTGTTTCAATAATTGTTGATTAAATATAAAACCATGTGCTGATGTATTCCACTGAAATCATATTCGAAACATGAAGAAAAACCTTTTTTGCATTGTTTTTTTTTCCCCTAAGCATTCTTTAGACACTTTTTTCCATTTTACTGAAAGGTCTGGTTAGTTCTTAATGTAAAGTATATCTTTAGCATTCAGTAAATTGAGAATATTGAGGTCCTCCAAATGCTTAAACCAACATGTGATTATTGTAAGATAGAAGGCAGAGATATTAGAAGAGTGCGTATCACAGGAAAAGCTCAAATCATTGCTGATAAATTAGACATCTCTTGTCTTAATCATTATATGATATAATCAAGTGTTTTCACAATGACTACAGTAGCTCAGTAGGCTTCCATAATACAGAGAAGAGAGCTTTCTCTTATAGTGTGTCAATCAAAGAGTCAATGATTCTACTGTAGTAATGAAAGTTTGACTGTAGCTGTTTTGTACATTGTATGGTATTGCTTAATGCATTAAAAAATTCTTTAAAGCAAACCTATCCAATTAATCACACCTAATGTTCTGTCAAGCAATAGCACAGAGTTCAGCCAAATTCCATTACTTTTAAGTAGGTTTATGCTGATTCTCCTTCAAGATCACTTCAGGGAAAGGATTAATCTAGAATTAGTCACTCTAATAAAAGCTTGAATGCTACATAGTATTTCTTATCTATCCACCTATTTTCATAAGCTACTCATGATGAGCCAGAGTCTTTCCTGGGAGGCACAGAGTACAAGGTGAAAATACACCTTGGACGCCACTATACTGCAGGGTACACACACACTTACTCACACCTGAGTGTGACACAATTTAAAGATACCAATTAATGTGGAAAGCTTGTCTATAGGAGAAAACTGTACCACACAGAGAAAGCATATTGATAAAAGGAGTATACTTCATACAGAAGTTTCACACAAGGCTGGATCTGAATCCAGAACCCAAGAGCTTACAGGCCACAATACTCACTGACATGCCAATGTGCTTCCCTGTATCTTATCTATTTTAGAGATCTGAGGCCAGACTTATCTAATTTTAGCTCTCAGGTGACTGTCTTCTTTATGACAATAAACCATACGTACAGTATATGAATACAGATTTCATTGTTCACCAATACTGACTAATTGTTTAGGACAGTAATTCATCTCACACAAGATCAGGGAAAGGAAATGGTCTCACGATAATTTACAGAGCAGACAAACAGACACTGTAACAGGAGCACGACAAACCCATTTCTCGAGGTGTCAGAGCTTGTCTGTAAACTCAATGAGCTAATGAGCCAGTGGTTTACACATGAAATAGCTTTCACCTTGTCGGGTTTAATCACACCCAAACAGTCAGCTAGCATGACCTGAATGCCAGATTATTTTCTTCTGCTATTGTTCTTGTTTGTTTTAGACAAGTTTGTTTTCTTTTTTATGAAGTGTTTGCCACATACCGTACAGCGTGTTTATAAGGGGTTGCAATCAGCACTGTAGAAAATATCTTTAAAACCATTCTGTAATTACTTTAAATTCCAAATTGCACATACACGATCATAAAAACGTTAATGGCAATGGTATGAAATGTCACAGATACTTTTGTGAATTTTACATCCTGCATGTGATAATTTTCAGTAAAATTGTATAAATAAATCCCATCTACTGTAGTTCCTTAAAAAAAACACTGGGGGGCATTATCATCTTTGTTACTTTGGGCTTTGCATAAACAGAGTCATGTAGAATTAGAGGTAAAAATGCCTAACCCTAGGTGAAGCCTAACAGCAGGGAAAACACCCTCACAAAAAACTGAAACTTTACATTTAGATTTACATACAAATCTCAACAGACTGCCTGAGAAAATGGGCCTAGTTTATATGCTATAAAATAAACACAAAAAATAAATGCCTCAGAATTATTAACTCAAGATGTAATGTCTTTAGCAGACAATTATTACTAATAGTTAAGGTAGACAACTGTGATCTATCTAGGGTTTTCACAAATACTGGAATATAGGATTCAAGACACAACATCTACCATGGAGAAGTGTAGCTGACAGATTTCCCAGTCACTTATCGGTCCTATTCTACATGAAACTCTTTAACCGAGCTAAAGATTTCATAACATAACCAGCAAAAGCAACTCACAACTTTGTAATTGTAGTACTCTCTTTGACTTTACAAAATAAACACTATGATAGACAAAGACCTTGGTCTGGACATGAAAGAGCTAGGGATAAAAATAACAGTTTTTTTTAGCTGTATAAAGAAAATTAAAAAAAATGAAAAACTGAATAGGTTCCTGGGCATCACCGTATTATCAAAGAGAAATTCAGTGAAAGTCTTACCTGCGGAAGGTAGGGGATGCAATGTCCGGGTATTTAGAGCCTGGCTGTCTCAATCCGGATTGGCCACTAGATGTGGGGCTAGATTTGGGAGAGCTGGACAGAGAAACGCTCTCAGAATCAGATACAGTCACTTTCTCTTTCTCCTTGTCAGTCTGGTTGACTGCGATGGGGCTGGAACGCCCTGACCCCATCTTGGCAGTGTCCCTGCGCTTGTTACTGGTAGGGGTCCCAGCTGACTTGCTGCTGACATTGGAGTCAATGCTGCTGGAACTGGACCTGTGCCCACTCCTGCTGACTATCCCACTGGTGCTGGACTTTGCTGGCCGGGGCAGGCTACGGTACTGCAAGGGGACTTTGGAACTGACAAGCAACACACCGTCATCCTGGTTTTGAGAGCCATCCAGGCTAGTTTTGCGTCCACCGTTCCCCTTCCCAGAAATGGCAGAAGACTTGGGAATTTTCCCAAGAGTGGCAGAGCCACTGGTGACTGTGGCCCCACTTGCTGTGATCAGAGTCCCTGACCCACTACCCACTTTCTTAAAACCAAAGGATCCAGTTGTAGGAGGCCGGGCGATGCCTGATGGTGGCTTCTTTCCTTCATCTCCACTGCTTTTACCAGCATCAGAGGGAGAGCGCTGAATGCCAGTACTCTTGGAGGTAACTTTTCCTTTCTCCGAAGCCTTGGCATCATCTGTTTTGCCTGCAATACATAAGACATTGTCTGACAAAATACTCTATAACTCTGTTTTTCTTCATTTAATAAAACAGAAAACAACTCTATGGAAATATTTCTTGATTAACTAAGGGAAAGACAAAATACCATGTTTTTTCAGAACTCTTCTATTGGTCTTAGCAGCTCAAAAACACCATCCCAATAATTTGTGCTTTTTGGGTAAGATTTCTGCTACTGGTATCAATCAAGCATGGTGATCCATCCATCTATTTTCTAACTGTTTTTTACAATACAAGGTCTTTAGATAGCCGGTCAGTTCAAGTAATCCCTAACCCCACCCTCAAAAGCATACTTTTTGAATATGACTAGTGCCAGAAATTAATATTATAATAATAACAATTATAATAATTGCTTACACTTACAGTATATAGCGCTTTTCTGGACACTCCACTCAAAGCAATTTTACAGGTAATGAGGACTCCCCTCCACCACTACCAATGTGCAGCATCCACCTGGATGATGCGATGGCAGCCATAGTGCACCAGAGCGCTCACCACACACCAGCTCTCAGTGGGGAGGAGAGCAGAGTAATGTAACCAATTCATAGATGGGGATTATTAGGAGGCCATGATTGGTAAGTGCCAATGGGAAATTTGGCCAGGACACCCCTACTCTTTTCGAGAAACACCCTGGGATTTTTAATGACTTTTTAATTTTTAATTAATAATCATGTTGATGTTTAAACCCTGAATCTACATTAGCCTTCTTTCTGACAGTCTTGATTTTTATTTTACTTCCACCCATCCATTTTCTAACCACTTTATCCTTCCATAGCAGGGCACACACACACACTGACACCAGGTGCCAGTTGTCCTAGAACTAAATTAACTTAGCAGTATGTCTTTAGACTGTGGGAAAAAAACCAGGGCATCCGGATGAAACCCATTCAAACATGGGGAGAACGTACAAATTTCACACAGTTAGCAACACAGGAAATGAACCTACTGTAAGGCCTAGAGCCACAAGGCAGCAATGCTAACCACTACGCCACCATGCCACCTAAGCATGGCGATGATACAATTGAATCAAAGACTGTTGTAAATAATTGCAGGAGAATGACACTAAAGGAAAATGTATAGGAATGTACATCGCCATTTCCAAAACACCCATGCATCAGACAGTGAAAGGCTTACCAGGTGTTTTGAGAGTCCCACTTGTGGCCTTGGTTCGGGGCGGTGTTATCCCAACCTGAGCTGTCATTCCTCTTCTCCAGGAGCCGTTCTGAGAGACTGGCAGGCCTGTCTTTTGTCCACTTTTGTCTGTTTCTTCATACTGCCCAGATGACGTGCCCTTCCACTTGCCACTCGAGTCCATGCTGCCGTCAAACTCCTCATCTGCTTTCTTCAGATCGTCTGATCTGCCCCACGCACCGTCATTGTCTGGCGCGGGATGTTTCTCTGCATCTGTCTTCAACTGAAAAATGGAAACAATAAAAAACCTCAAATTACTATCGGTTGTGAAATAATATTCATTTTTCATCATTATCTGCTGTCAAGTCATTCACCTATTCCGTAATATTTCACTTAGTGCAGAAACAAATGAAACAATTTTAACAAAATATGGGATGCCATTGTGTTGGCCTCCTTTCTTATAAAAGTGAACATACTGTATCTTCCACAGCTACACCACTCAAAATACAGGATTTAAATTCAAGACTGCGGTAGCAATTTAAATGTCCTGAGACAAGGTAAGGAAAATGAATCTTGTTGCACATTGCAAAAAATACACATCTAAACCATTATCAGCAACAGAGCCATTAGGACCCGCAAGGCTTCTTCCTTATTACTTACAATACCTGCCACACTGCTTGATTCCCATCAGGCTTTGTTGTACATGAATTTATGCCAAATCTATAATATAGTAACAGTCTGACACTTGTAGAGAACTCTCCCCATAAAAAATAAGCTCCAGGAATGCTGTCAGACATGCCATGAAAAGCAGACAATAAATTAGAAAAACAATAAATCTCAAAAAAGAGAAACAGAAAAAAATGTTTCTCAGTGATTTCGCAACAAAAAGTAAACAGAGTACTGGATAAATGCAGTAACTTGTTTAGTAGCATCATTACTTATGGTGATACATGTTTGTTTCCCTAATTACCTTGTGCTCTCTGAGCAGTAATGTGTGATCAACATGCTAAACCATGCTTTACTTTATCTTCCCCAAACTTTGCAAACCAATCTTCAAATGCAAATATGAGCAGGAATGCTATCAGACATGCTCAAGTATTTTCTTAAGTTAAAAAGTCAAAAAATGGTTATAGATAACTCAATAATCTTGTAAACCATAAATATTACACTCTACAGACCAGTGGTGTTCTGCTCAGTACTTCTGTATGCAGTCAATATATTTTTTAAAGTTATATTGTATGACACACATGCTTACAAGTAAGCTGGGTTTCTCACTATGTTCTGTTTATAGCTTCTTCTTACCACTTCCTGAACTGTTCAACAATACTTGCCTCTTCTGACAGTGAATTAGATCATCCTAATATATGCACATACTGTACATAAAAAAGCAGGTCATCAGGAAAGACGCAATACCTGGGCGCCCTTGCTCTTCCGGGGAGAAGCTGCGATATTGGAGTACGAGCTGACAGATGAGGTGGTGTTCAGATCATCTGTGCTGATATTGTCCAGAGTGTCGCTGAGTCCGCTGCTAACAGAGCTACTATCATCCCAGCTAGAAGAGAAGGAAGGTCAAACTTTCATCAGGGCAGATGTTTAACTTTAGAAGGAGTCTGCTTCATAAGGCACGACCACTCTGCTGTGAGTCTGCCTTATCACCTCTCTTCCCACTCGGGCTAGCTATTGCTCAGCTGCAGGACCTACGGCAGAGTCAGAGGTCATGTGCACTGCTGTTGGCACAGCTGTCATCACTACGGTCAACATCTGTTAAAGTCTTCCGCGATATGCCAAGCATAAGCTAAACTTAAAGTTCTCATTTATTTTAATTAAAGAGGTTCAGCTGTAAGGACAGCAAGAAATTACATTGCACAGCTTTCTGAGGTTTTGGCAGCAACTTAATTTAATCTGTTCTGCACATTCTGCATCTGCTCCTAACCTCAATTTCTGCACCAACTCCACTGACTTTCAATCAGTGCATGTCTTTTCAGTCTTCCTCTGAGCTATTTATTATGTTTTATTTTTTTTTACATTTATTGACTGCTCACTATCTCACCACTGTCTTCAGTGCGGACACAATTTGATGCTAGTCTCTCACTGCTGATTCATCTGAATATTAAAATGAAGCTCTTTCTTTTTAAAAAGGAATGACTATGCCTATAACTGACATGATAATTACTATTATGTAGTAGTAGCTAAAAAATCCTTAAAAATGAGAGAATTATAAAGAACATTTAATTAAGTTAATGTTTTTATTATCATGATAGAGCATTGTGAAACCGATATACTGTAGATATAAAAAGACAAATAGAAATTATAAAAAGGTGTGTTTCTTTATTAATATATTCATTTTTTCTGTGACATTTACTCCTTGAGACATGACGTTCACTCTGTATGTTAATGTGATAGCAATCTCATGCATATTAGCAGTCAACATTTCTTTCCACACATGCACACTCATACACACACACACATCACATTATTATGGTTGCCATATCAACAGACCCAGCCCTGAAGAACACTTCAGTGAGAGACAGAGAGCCATCCAGACTGTGTGGCTTCACCCTTAATTAACATCTGAGGGGATTTGACAGTGTTCTTTAACTTTTAATGGTGTCATGGAAGGGTTGGCCTCCCTGCAATAAAATGTCATTCTGGGCTGTGAAGGATTATGCTCCAGTGAAATATCCATCATAACTGATAATGAAGAAAAATGAAAAGAAAACCCAACCAAGCCCGGCGTTTCATACTGCATTATTCTCCCATTTTCCCATCAGCAGGATCCTATGTAATTTTCACCTAAATTTTCTGTTTCTGCACCATGACACCCTACTTGAAAACCTAGCTGGATTCACACCCGGCATTTTGCTTTGTCTTGCTTTTTATTTTGCATTCAGTGGTTCCAAGCTACCTTAACACAAGGGTAAGATGTTAACTGACATACAAATTATATTGCTTTCAGTCTGTTACTGACTGAAACTGGAACAATCTTCCACTCTATTCAGCTGCTTTTCGCAGTTTGGTAGAAAGCTGAGCATTCAAAAAAAGAGAAGATCTGCCACGAAAAGCAGACAATAAATCAGAAAAAAGAGAAACGGAAAAAAAAATGTTTCTCAGTGATTTGGTAACAAAGAGTTAACAGAGTACTGGATAAATGCAGTAACTTGTTTAGTAGCATCATTATGGTGATACATGTTTGTTTCACTAATTACCTTGTGCTCTCTGAGCTGTAATGTGTCATCAACATGCTAAACCATTTTAGTCTTTACTTTATATTCCCCAAACCTTGCAAACCAATCTTCAAATGCAAATTTGAGCCACACAGCAATAATTACAGATTTACAGTAAGTATTAATTCTTTTCCATGTGTGATCTATTTAATACATCACTTAACCTCTTTAATTTAATTTAATTTAATTTAATGTGGAAAGGCATGTCAGGCTATTTTTTATAAAACAATATGATATTGAATACTGTCCACTGCAATACTGAAGTATTTTATATTGACACAATACATTTACTTTTAAGGTGAATTATGCTGAGCATCAAAAGGCAATTAACACTTACTGTACAACTTGTTTTAAATTTACCAGATTAACTGACATTTTATTAAACAGACAAAATAAAGCTATATTAATTATTCCGATTATAACATGTCATAAATGGCAGACTACTGTGAAAGTCACAGACTAGTACCATGTGTGGCCACTGCTGGGAGCAATACAAGCTGTACTGTACATCTGCCACACATGCTTTGCAAAAGGTTGCAGAAACTGACTTGGAGGATTCTGTCCTGTTCGTCCTGTACAGCCTAGGTGCCACGTGCCTATTCACTGGTCTTCTGAGCATTAGAAGCCACATTAATTCTAACCCACACAAAAGTTCAATTGGGCTAAGGTCACATTAAATAGAGCATCCATATCACAACTGTCACATTCTCATTTTGGAAGAAAGCTGTTGAAATACTTGTAGCATGAGGATCTACATTGTCCTGCTAAAATGTAGTCACATGCTATACATTTGGGCTAACAGAAAGAGTAGCAGATGAGGTTCCAGGACTTCATCAATTTAGTGTAATGGAGTACTGTACCAAAAGACATTCCTGTTCAGACTACCCCTCTCACTCACTCAACAGATTTGGCTATCTGTTTTGACTTGTGGTCTCCCAGATCTTGGCCTATCGGTGACTGACTGAGTTTGGCTGTGACACCTTGACAGATTAGTTATTGCTGCCTGTGAATACCCCATATGTTGAGTGACAATGCTCAAACTTAGTTCAACCCCCTAGATACTGTACCAATAGCAAGAAGGAACTGTTCTCTTGATAAAGAGGACATATTTGTTTTCTTTACTTCTTCTCTCTTGATTTCCACACGGCTTGATATTCAACAGGTTAAATCACCTCATGACCTGTGCTCAATCACCTATCAGACTGATGATTTAATGCATATGCAAAGTCACTAAGTGTTTCACGGTCAGTGATGAAAATCAATTAATCAAAACAATATCAAAACATTTAACATCCAAAATGTGTATATTTCTGTGGTCTTTAAACATATATACATAGATTGATACATTTCGTTTTTTGCTCAGTATTCAATAATTGATTTCCCATTAATTCATCTACAAATTAAAATAATAATGATGAAAACAATTTTTTCAGTTTGATTCTAACACATTACCTTTCTATAGAAAGACATTTTTTTTCCAAATTATATGTTTAGAGAAAATCAAAGCTTTGTATTAAAATGCTGTTAGGAACCTATGTTTTCTTTATCTTTGGCATACCAAGACTCACCCTAATCAAGAATGTTTAAAAAATGTTACTAATGTTTCTCCTTCCACGTGTACACTAAATATCTGCTGTCTTTTGGGTCAGTTCTATCTGTTAATCCTTTGCTTAAAGGGTTAATTATTTTTTCTGTTAAAATCTGAAGTGTGAACAAATTAGGTAAATGCAAACCTGATATGATCTGAAAGGAGGCAAAGCAAATCTTAATTAAGCATTCATTCATAATTCATGCAAGACAAATTTTAAATCCACACAAACAGAATATGATTATAGCTTTACAATACACCCGAAGCATTTGGTTCAGAATTGGGATAAAGGATGCTTTAGTGTTTTTGCGAACTGCAACTGAAGTGTATTCAACAGATAACTGGAATATACTAGTCATTAAAAAAAAAACACATCAATATTCTTTTAACATTTATAGTTAAGATTTGTATCCAAAAGAGAAAAAAAAATCAGAGTTTGGTTGCATTCAGTATGCTGGTTCATCCTAAAATACTGTATCACACAGGTTAAATATTCACAACACCAGTTCCCTCTTATATTTTATGAATTTCCAAATAAACAAGCTTATTTGCTTATTTATACAGAGTTGGAAAGTAGTGTTAAAGTTTTTGGCATTTGTGTTTTAGACTTTTAGACTTGTAACTTTTAGACTTGCTTTTGGCCAATTCTGTTTTCCGGTTAGAAACATTAAAGGGATACTAAATTGTGCTAAAAAGGGGGAAGATTTAGTGAAAATTTGGATGCTCACCATTAAATTGTGAATGAAGTTAGCAAAAACTGTACTGAAAAAACAGAAACTAAAATATAAGGCAATACTAGTTGCAAACACTTTGGCAGCAATTATACAGGATTTGTTTTTTTGTGTGCGAAACCTGTGCCCCACACTGTGAGGGTACAATTTATGTACAATATTTTTTTAATATGACTGTACATTTATTTTTACAAGTTGTTGTTGTTACACCCTGGTGAGACAGAACATGAAGCTCCTGGACCCCATGGCAACAGTCCACATTCACACTTGGAGTCAAACAAATGTGCCGTGAGAACGCGATCAGGAAGTGCTGTCTGTGCCACCTGCCTCCACTAAAAGGCAAGGTAATTATCTCATCAGTTCCAAGATACTTAACCCCTGCCCTGTCCACAGTCATATGATCTGTCCTTGAGCTTCCTAACTATGGAAGTGCTCCTTGCACGAACCAGCCTGCTAGTACACCATTAGATTTTACAACTTCCAGCGCTGCGCCTAAATCAGTCGGACTCCTCAATTCCGAGACAGAACCTGATAGTCAGCCGAATCTCCATCCGTCTCCTAGTTGCTACGCGTGCACATGCAGGGTCCTTGGCCACCAACCTGACCTCCTTGGCTGAACAGCTTCCCCTTTCTGCTCTGCCCAGCTGCGCCATGCTTTTCTGGCACATGGTTCTGCCTAGCTGCACCACACATTCTTTGTGCTTCCCACCTCTTGTCTGTCTGCCTGACCAGGTCATCCCCAGCTCTGCTACTGTAGTTAGCCCAGCACATCCCCAGCACTCACCTGTCACTGCCTTCACAGTGATTCCACAGACACAGCAGTCTCCATGTCATAACAGTCGTATGATATGTCTCGACAATACTATTTTCAATAGCTTACAGAAGATGACCTTTTTTAAAAAAACAGATTTTTAACCTTTCATGGTTCTTTTCATGGGTAATACCCCCATTGAAAATTTCATTGAAAATCTTTTCGGTCAGTATAAATGTATTCAGTGCCACAGTGGTA